CACAGTTGGTTTTTAAACAAATAAACAATATAATTATTGATAACAAAAAAACTTTTTAATATAAATATTTCTTGATTGATTCCTGAAGTCTTCGCGAATATTCTTTTTGTTAATTTTTTTTCTCTACTTTCAACAGAGAATTGAGAAAATGAAAACTATCATATTTTTATAATTCTAAGAATTTCATATTAGAGTGGATTCATGTGGATTCAAGTGGATGCAAGTGGATTCAAGTGGATTCATGGATTCATGGATTCTGCTGTTCCCCCCTTGTGGTACCAATAATGGTTATGAAATATTCTAATACAATAGTTTCTATCATATTTCGAAAAGGTGACCAACTCTCTTCAAACTATGATTTCTGGTGATAAAGTTTCCTATAGCAGTTTTCCTTGCCTCTTCGTAGTCAATTCTGATCGTTGATCAAATGTCAAAAGCAAAATCATTCAATCATAACTTTTAGTTATTGTATCCATTAATTTCCAAGACAGTACAAGCACGGCAAGTTTTATTTTATCAGAAAAGAATTTTCACATCAACTAACAAATCAAATATTATTTTATTAGTCACTTATGTGACATTGCTTCCAATAGTTTTTCAGCAGCGGCTTTACCACCAGTTTTTTTCTGTACAGGTGCAGTACTGTTCGATATTGATAAATACATTTCAAGTAGAAGAATTGTTTCTGTAAGTTGAAGTTGAGCAAGATCAATTCTATAAAATAATTTAATAATAAACAAAACTAAAAATGCTATTCTTATTTTACTTACTTTCTAAAAGCGGCATCAAGTTTTTGTATTTGTTCTTTTTCCATTGGTGATAAAATATCTTCTACTTCTTTAATTTGATCTTCTTCAGCATTTTGTTCTCGAAGACTATGAATAATAGCATCAACTTTATCACGTTTATCAATTAATTTTCTATGACGTTCCCTTTCAAACTGATGTCTTTGCATTAAATTTGACATTGTCTATTTTAAACGAAGAAAATATTTTTTTTTGTTTGTTTGTGATATTATTACTTTATAAGAATGATCAAGTAGTGACAAAACACCATTGTATAAATTTACACGAAAGAAATAAAATGTTCTAGTGGGATTGAAATCAGTTGCTTTTGACAATTCCTTAATTGAAAAAAAACCATAAAAAATAACTAAATGAAACAAAATTCTACTTCTAGTGTTAGCATTCCATCGATAAACATTGAATACACATATTGTTGTGCCTCTTTTGCGTTGATCATAGCCATGTCTTCAATCTAAATAGATTGTTGTTAGCTAATAACAGACTGATGAATTCTTTTTTTAAGTTTATTTACTTGTTTTTGTGATAAACAACCACGTTCTTGAAGCATATTATAGATTCTTAATGCATTTGAACCAAATCTTTCTTTTAAAAATGATTGAATATGACCTTTCGTTAATCCACTCAATGCTTTTTGAAAATCTTTTAACAGAAGAAGTTTTTTTAGAAATTTACATTAACATAAAGCCAACTTCTAAATCAAACAACATCTTACCTATAATGTAAGTTCCTTTTCCTTGGTCACCCGTTTTTATAAAACAATTATTCTAATAAAATTTCAAATATTAAATCATATTAAATCTATATTTAGATCATCTTACCACATCACCAATAATAACATTTACATATTTTTGTAATGATTCTTCATTCATTTGTAATCCAGTTGTTGATATTGTTTTGGCAATCTATAATTGATGAAAATTAAATTTCTCTTTTGATCGAAGGAAAATATTGATTTACTTCAATAAATGAGACGGGTATAGTTCGTTCTGGATTCGGTTTTATTTCAGCTAGACGAAGTATGGTTCGGATGATTTCACCAGCATTCTTAAATTTAAAGAAAAAAAGATTGAATAAAACAAAAAGATTTTAGTTTGAAATTGAAATTTACTTCATCTATTCGATTTGTAAATGCTTGAATAAGTTCTTGATCACGTAGATAGGCAAAAAATCGTTGAAAATTAACTTTCCAAAAAATCTTTTCATCACCAAATATTATTTTAGTTGATTTAAATTTTTTTGCCGATGGCTCATGTGATTCTTCTTGTTGGCTTGCTATTAAATGTTTCCATCCTTCTTGTGTTAATTCCGGTATCTGTGTGAGATTGGTTGGTGTTTCTTCTGCAATGTCAGGCATATTCGACTTAGTTTCCTTCATTGAAATACGTTGTAAAAATTGTGTACTAGCTAATAACCTAAAGGATTCTTTAATCGATTGTAAACTATGAACTGCAGGATCTTTGCCAGCTTGTATTAAACGTTCATAGACTTTAACTAATAATGTACTCATACGTTGTTTACCATTTAATAAAAGTTCTTCTATGATTAATTCACCATCAAAACCATATAATTGTCTAGCACAATGAATACATTTTGAATAATGTAAAATATACAATGCTCGCTTAAGATTAAAGGCATATAGAATACGTTTAGCACCGGCACGAAGATCTCCATAGCATTCAATTATATCATGTATAGCTAGTGTTGCTAGAGATCGCGCAATATTAACTGCTGGAATGTTCAGATCACGAACTAGAAGAGCAAATGGTAGAGGACCTTTACGATTCAGATAGGAAGCAACTTGACTGGATGTTCCATCAGGAAATAAATCTGTGATTAAATCAAAGGCTAAACGAATATGATGCGTAGTCATATCTACAATACAGAAATATTATTTTATTTGTAAAGAAGAGATTCTGTATTGTATCAGTTAAATAATTTCGATTTACGACAGATATCGATGGCCATGAAGAGTAGTAAACAAAGATTCTCACCTACACCCTCTTGATGTTTGGAATAGTGAATATTTTGAATAAGACATAAAGGAATTTTTTTTATTGCTAAAATGACAATACAAAAAAAATAGAAACGAATAAAGTTAGTCTTTTTTGCCAGTTGATTCTTTAATAAGATCAGTTTTTGTCTTTTTGCCTGAACGATCATCACGGAATGCAACGTAAAGAAATGCAATTAATATAATATGAACGACAATAACGGCTACAGCAGCTGAAAACATGTAACTCCGAGTATCAGTCATATTAAATATTCCTGCAAATAAATAATCTTTCGAGATGAAAAATGATGCTATTGGCGCCAGTGTCATCATAACAGTAAAAAAGAGCATTTTACGAAAAACAACCCATATAGCTATATCATTAGCTTTCTCTTCCTCTTGAATAAGTGAATCGACTGTTGCAGTCGGTTGTAGAACTGATGTTCGTTGCATCTGAAAAAAAAATATATATATATAGATGTACAAAAATCGAACAGAAATAAACGTTTTTTTTTCTTTTTGTTTGATATTCCTCTTTTATTTATACGAATATACAGAAATGTGTACATGAAGTTCAATAATGAACAAAACATTTTCATATTTAATTAAGTCCAGGTAAGATAATGCCAACATTTTCCATAAGTTTATTAGTTAATGGATCTGATTTTGATGTTGACGAATTCGTTGATATTATTTCATTACCAAGACAAGCCATTAAATTGCATGCACATAACGTTCCATCAAAAAGAATAGCTGAAAGATTATCGATAGATGTAGCTGCCGATGTGCCACGAGGATTCAGATGACCCAATTGTCGCACTTTTTCACCCATTTTTGTTAATGATTCACCGAGTAAATAAATTCCGGCGGCAATATCAGCAATATCATAATTTTTTGGTGGTGCAATAATTGTTGGTGTTACTGGTTGTTTAACAAAAGCATTCGGTGGACGAATTGCTGGTTGTTGTTTAGCATATTGATTTAATGTCTTTTGTAAAAGTATTGGTGGAGGATCATCAGTAGGTTTCTTTCGTTTCGTTGATTTCGTCGTTTTTGTTGTAGGTGTTGTTGTCGGTTCGGTACTAGTGGACGCTTTTAATAATTCAGCTGTTATAGGATAATGATAACTTTCTTTTTCGGCTTTAATACACCAACGTTGTCGATCGTGTGCACTCATTTTTTTCCACGTACGATAAAGACGTTTATCATCAAGACTCATTGTTCGATGACGTGCACGATATTTCATAGCCCATAAACTATATCCATCGAGCATTTCACTTGACATTGAACCTAATGTTGCAGCTAAACCTAAACTTCGATCATGTTCTTGTTTATTTCCAATTGCTGTCCATTCTTCTTCATCGCTTAATACTCCTGATGAATGATCATCATCATCAACATCTAAACCATCTTCATCGTCTTCTTCTGATGAATGTCCTTCTTGATCTACGAAAGACAAAAAAAAAGAGATATAACGATAAAAAAAACCAATGATAAGAATATAAAAATGTCATTACGAAATTCTTCATCATCGCTTCGTCTGTCAATCATTTCATTTTCATCATCACTTTCAATATCGTCGGCTATAACCATTTGATTTGAATCTCGTTTTGTTTTAGCTAAAAACAGAATTATTATTATTGATTGTGAAAACTAATTTAAAAATTCTTAACTGCCGGGTGTTATATTCTCTACGATCAAGCTTTATTTTCATACGTTAGAAATAAATAAAATACTTCTTGAATGCAGTCCTATAAATAACTACTGGTGAAACAAAGCTGTTACCTAAATCTTATGTTAGAATATATAAATTCTTTACTAGAAAGGTACAGAATCAAATATTATTTTGTTTCGGTACGACATATCTCTATTGAGACATAAGAAAATTGTAGCTTAATTTTCGTCTGTTCAATTCTCATAAAATTAGTTTTCCTATTAGTGAATTTACCTTTTGGCGTTGTTGATTTTCGTCCTGCTCCAACATGTTTAACAGGAGCCGTTGCTTGTTTTTTATTTTTTGGTGATCCTGCCGATGATTTTCGTCCTTTAGCATTCGCCGTTGCTGGTAAACTTCCATTTTTAATAGCGTCAAGATCAGCTTTAATGGATGTTTGTTTTTTCTTCGAATAGTTTGATGGACGTTTCGGTGGTGCTGTTTGGTGAACCGGTGATAATGGTGGTGATATAGTTGCACCTTGAACAAGCTCTTTAAAATATGGTGTATATTTAATGGTTCGACCTGATTTTGTTTGTTTAACTTCACTAAATTGTGAATCATGCGGTGGAATTTTAACAGGACTTGGCTCATCGAGTGAAAGTGTATTAACTGTTGTACCAATTAAACGACTAATAACTTTCTTGCGTGATGATTGTTGTTTTTTCTTCGATGGTGAAATAATCAGTAACGATGAATCATCATGTTTAATAGGTAATGGTGAATCTGGTTGTTCGTAGTTTTCATTATGATCATCAATTTTCAAACGAACTTCATTGTCAGATGATTCATCAGCTGATAATTCATTTGTTTCATGAGTAATATTTGTAATAATACAACTATCAGATGTATCTTGAACAGATTGCGAACGTAGATTAAATTTCAATTTTATTTTTGGTGTTGGTGTCGGAGGATTTTCTTCCGTTAGTTCTTCAGTAATTATTTTTGTTTCAGGAAGAGGATCATTTGTTTCCATAGGTTGAACATTTTTTTCAATTGCTATCGGTGTTTCCGATGATTTAACTGCCTTAGAACGTCGACCAGGACGTTTCTCTGTTGTAGATGATGCCGAATCTGCACCGCTTATCTTTGGTTTAAAAAAGTAAGCTATACCAGACATTTCTAAAAATGCAAAGATTCTACAAATAACGGTACTTGAATTTTTATTTCAAATATTTCACAAACTGAAGGAAGCAAAACCGAAAAATAATATTTACGCTTTTTTTCTATTTATTTTCAGGCTTTGATTCTTTTTCTTGTTTCTTTAAATTTACACACAACAACACACAACAGCAACAGAATACATTTGTTTTAAATAAGCTGTAAAAAATACTAAATCATATGAGCAAAAACAATGAAAAATATTTAGACACGATTAAGGAGAAGAATTAAAATTAAAATAAATGCTAAATGAGGCTTCATCCGATGTGCGTTTGACATTTCTATTTGATAAAAATCATCAATAATTGACGTAGAATGAGATGATGAAGGCGGATTATAAGGATAGTAATGCTGTTTTATATAATAATTGTTTTGTTGCTTATTTTTACGATTTTTTTCACGATGTCGAGTATGAAATGAATTATAATGATTCATCGAATGGGAATAAGCTATGCTATTATTGACTTCGTCGGATGGCTGAAGGTGAACATTCGCAGCAAGGATTTTGGAAGGAATAGTTGTGGTTGGTAATTGATGTGAAGGATTAACTTGCGTACCGTAAAAAACTAGAGACCAATTCAGAAAAATAACTAAAAGAAAACAAAAAAAAACAATTATATTATAAACGAGATGTGATATTAATATTGGCACACTGAGCACTTCAATAGTATTCCTATAGAGATCTTTCATCCAAGTCTACTGCTTTGTCAAATTCTTCATATCTAGATTTCTATTTCCTATTCGAGATGAAAAGAACTATTTACTACTAACCATTATTTTCAACATCAACAATTTCTAAAGTCCAAAGACCACGTGGTGATTCGCCCCAATTATGTACTGTCATAAATGGCCACTTGTCAAATCCATCAATTGAATCATCTTCCACTCGTCTACCGAGTAGCGTTGAATTTGTACCCATTGGCGAAGTTAAAAAGATTTGTAAATTACCTTAAAACAACGATAACTTTTTTTTCTAATAATTATAATCGAATAAATAACATACCACGATATTTAACTTTAACAGATACTTTTGATTGTACATGTTCAAGAAAATTTATTTCATTTTCAGTATTCACACAACCATCAGTATACATTTGAATAACAACACGTTCATATTTTTTAAATGTTCTGTCAAGATTTTAATGTTTTTATTAGTCTTTTTACTTCGACATGGCACTTACTTTGCGATTATATTCGGATCGCTTTGATGGCAAATGCGTTGAGAGGGGACTGTTCTCCATTTCTGAGCCTAAAAACAGCAAAATATAAGTTTTTGTTTTAAATTTCAAACGAATATTTACTTTCAAAACCAATTGAGCAGCATCCATCATTCCGAAACCAAACGCATGGCTAACGCGTTTGCCAACTCCATTCATCTTCCAATCTAAGGCATTCAAATATTTTGGTTTTGCTGTTTCAATGATCAAATATTGAACATCACGCCATGTTAAATTACGATTAGCTTCAAGTGCTAATGCAATTATACCAGCAGCCATAGGAGCTGAAGCTGATGTTCCTGTACAGAAAAGAAAAAATAAATAAAAGGCGTTAAAAGAAACTGAATTAACTTTTGTTTTTTGAATTTACCTGTGTGATTCTCTGTACATTGACTTCGAAGATCTGTTGAAACAACTTGTTTTTCATCGGATGCACCACTACTATACGTAGTTGCTAATGTTGATGAACAAGATTCCGAATACCAAGGTATATTTCCATTTTCAGTGGCACTTGAAATTGATACTGTATATATAGAATTTGTATAACCATCACAATTGCAATTATCATCGTCTTTTCCACCGTTTCCTGATGCCCAAACATAAATTGAACCTAGACCTTGACGACCCTAATAGGAAAGATTGGACATTAATGAAAACAAAATGAAAATTATCCTTGATAGAATTTACATATTTAATGCCATTCTCAAATGCTGCTTGAGCTAATGTAGCTGGTCCATCAACTGTTTTACCATCATCATCCGGTCCCCTGAATGAATTTTCTTGGTTAATATTTTATCATAGCAAAAAAAACGTCGAGCTTCCTTACCAACTAGCTGAATAAATATCAATCAAATCCGGACGAAAACTCAATGCCCTAGACTCAACTAAATCAGTTACTTCTCCATCCAACAAACGAATACCTAAAAAACAATAATTATTGTTACTAGATAATATTCAATCAATGATTATTTTTCGTACCTCCAATACGTGCATTATATGCTACTCCAACACTACATATATTATTATTTGCTGCAGCAGCTAAACAAAATGAGTAATATTTCATACAAGTAAATCGATTTCCTATTTAACTTACCAACTTCACCAGCACATCTTGTTCCATGTCTACGAAGAAAAGAAAAAATTTTAATAAAATTTATTATCATAAAGAAATGCCACTAATAACTCATGCAATACAGTAAAAAGAAAACTATCATTCTCACCTCTACGCATGCTGATATATATAGATATATATGTGTGTGTGTTTATTTATATGCAAACAAATTCATCATTGTCTTTCAAAGAGAAACTCTATCTATTTACTTATTATCATTAGTCGCTGTCATTCGGGGTTGAGGGTCGCTGTCATTTCCATTGATATCATAACTAGCACGCGGTTCCTATAAATAATATCAACGCTTATTAACTCCTCAGAGAAAAAAAAATATATATATATATATTTTGTTTTTCCTATGTCTACATAAATGTTACATAGGAAAAAAAGGAAGAAAATCAAAATAGTTTTCTACTTGTTTTCATTTGTTGGATCATAACGTGGTTGTGGATCATCGTCATAACCATTAATATCTGTACTTGCTTGTGGTTCCTAGAAAGTGGTTTTGTTTTTGACATGCAGACATGCAGTACACAACACGATCGGTATTAATACTTACATAGTTTTGTATTAAATCAGGATGATCTTTCTCAATGCCATCGTCAAGGATTGTGACGACGACATTTTTACCAGTAAATCCAAGACGCCATGCACCTGAGATATTCATAGCTCGACCATGTTCACTTTCATCATGCTTTAAACAAAACAAACAGCATTGTTTACTTTAAAAATAAAAAGTGAAAGATTTTCTCTTACCATATACCATTGTTTATCCCATTCAGGGTCATTAAATTTGGAAGAGGATGATGATGGTGAATACATTGGATGATAATGCATAGCATTACGTTTTACACGTTTTTTAACTTGCTGTTGTTCAACCCAATCTACTAAAGGATCTTGTTTTATTTCACCAATAAGTTCTACATCGGATCCGTCGAGTGAACGTTTTCGTCGATGATTTTTGATGATATGACGAAATACAAAATAATTTTGATGTGGTATCGCCTTAAATAAATAGTATACAAAAAAATGATTTCTTTTTCAAAAATTTTCTTTACTTGTCTTTCGAATTTTAAATCATATTTTTCAGCCAATGATCGAGCTGTTTGTTCACCTTCATTAATATGTAAAACAAATTCGTTTGTATACTTTAAATGTTCAAGTTTAGCAAATGAAACGATGATAAAAAGAATTAATTCAATGGCAACAATAATATGACGGGTAACAACAATAAGCATGTCCTCGATAATGATGCCGAACAAGTTTCGGCCATATCACATTGTTCGTTGTCTATTGGTCACAATCAGTCTTAGACTTAAATACTTAATTATTAATTAATACGATTAACAATGTAAGAGATCAATTGCTTATCTAGAATAGACATACTTGACAATTATGATAATCAAGTAGAAAATAGAAAATGAACATTTCCCTTTATTTCATCACAATTGATTGTCTTTGAACTCAAGTGTAAGTATCAACACTGTGCCTCTTTTTTCCGTTTCAAGACAGTAAAAAAAAAAGGAAAAGCTTCTCACGGGGAATCAACATAAAAGCGAAACGAGGGGAAAATAAAATATGACGAGCACAAACTCAAACCAATCAAGGCCACCACACATCTTCTTAGCAAGCCGAGACATGTCATTAACCTTCTGCTTACAAAAAACATGCATGCATGCATAAAACTATTTACAATGCAACTCTATAAGTGTCACTGTTATTATATATAGATCCATCAACAAATCTGACACATATTTTTATCGTTGACTTCAGTCACTATACGTTTGATGTTTAAATGGATTATACTTATCTTAAGTTACTTACTCAAATGTTCATGATAATAAAGATGGATTCATATTTTCTTACGTCAGTAAGAAATAAGTAGAACCTTCATATGAGCACACACGGAATCGATCGACTTATCGTCAATGATTTTATACTTACACATGAGAGAAAAACCAAGTGATGAGCAATTGCGTAAAAACAAAAGATGAAGAATTGCCTCGATTCGTCTTCGTCTTGGTGTCTGTTTATACTATTAGTTCGTTCTACCTTGCATTTCTCGTTATGTTGCATGATGTTGATGATGTATGTCTATTTGCACTGCCGTCGCTGTCTTCCTTATCATTGCCAATTAAAAAATGAAAGTATTCATGCAAAAAAATAATAAGTTCCTCATCTGTTTTTTTTACCTATTCTGAAGACACTTATTTTTACCTACAAACAAATTTTACATAGTATGTAACTAATATCAATGTGGCATTTTCTCATGTTCTCTAAAACAATAGATGAATCTTATTGTTGTAACTAGAAACTTTCTTATTATAGAAAAAAAGAGAAAAACGTCTAATGCAAAAAACAGAATACTCTTTCAAATGTGAATGTAATGAACATATACAATCGTTCTTATATAGTTCGATGATCATCTTTCGCTTTCTTTTTTACATTTATAGGGTCGACAGACATCTACTTCTCGATTTGTCACAAATACATACTTTAGAAAGAACGGACATATTTACTTATTCGATCGTATGTGGGTGCATCTCTTTTCATTAAAGCCATATTTATTATGATGTACAGCAATGGTTTGATTAGTACTATCTCTCTCTCTTTCTCTATGAGTTTCAAAGGCAAGAAACATTCAGTCAGACAGCAACTTCCGTTTTGTTAATGAGATACACTTGTGTTTACTATGTCAAGTATTTTCTTTTTAGATACAGCTTGATTGACATTAATTACTTTTTCTAACTTCTATTCATTATGAAAAAAAGGTGTCGCGTCTCTTTCTCTCTCCCTTGCGATTTGCTATTCAACTTACCAGGGAAATCGTTGAAGAAAATGTCCACACAAAGTAATGTGTCGAGTTCATTTAGAAGGCATCCCTCTCTTCATCTTTTCCTTGTTCTCGTTCGTTCTGCCGTGGTCTCGTCGCTCGTTTCTCTCTCTCTCTCTCTCTCTCTCTCTCGTTTTCTCTTATTTCTGTTCTCTTGCGTTCAGTGTGTCCAATAATGACGCCGCATTAAATGTTGCTTGAATAGTAAGAGTAGTGTTGGCAGTCGCTCTTCTTCATGAGACCTGATGACAAGTGCACGCAATGGATAATAGTAATTGATGAACAGAATTTATTCATCTGAAAAACAAAAAAGTATACAAATAAACATACTTCAATGTTCAAAAATGAGAATCACATGCTCGAGGCTATGTGAGAATTATTGCGGAAGAGATCAATCATTCTCGTTAGAGAACAAACTATAAAAAGGCAAAAATCTAATTCATTTATATCCTCATGAGATTGACACCACGAGGCCTTGGCAATGCCATTCTAATTATCTACATCCGACTTTTCTTATTCATATTAATGTGCATTCAGCTAAAAAGAAAAATGTGTCCATTACCAGAAGTACAAAAAAAACTCACCAAACGAATGGAATAGGAAGAGAATAGAAAACAATTATAGAATTGCGTGACTTGATGAAATAAAACAGAAGATATAAAATTAGAACTTAATGTTAGAATCTATGTAGAACCTTTCAGCAAGGTCATTTACATTTATCATCTATTGGAAACATCATATAATATAAACGTGTGTTCTATGACGTAAGATTTCTTATCATACAAATCATTTGTTTATAGGAAACAAATATTTATCAGAAACAGGTTTTATCGATAATTCATAAAAGGCTTTAAAGCTTTCTGTTGTAATCGAGTAACTACTAATACTACACAAATACACGTCATATATGAAGAACAGAATTAATAAGAGTTTCACTCTTCAGAGAAATAAAAACATTAGAAAAAGTTTTATAATTAATTCGATTTTGATCATATCGATAAACTTCCACAAACGTCATCTTTAAATAAATCTAATTATATAATATTTATCTCTTCACATATGGCGTTTTTCCCTATATAGATAAAAAACAACCGATCTGAACCATGTCCCTTAAGGCAAAGAAATTAGAGTAGAAGATATTGCTTACTATTGGATGTTGGCAAAAAATTGCATTACACAGCTCATCACTATGAAAACAATGGAAAAATAAATAGATATAAAATTATTCTATGCAAAATACGTTTCTTTTCTTTTGTTAGTATTACTATTATAAATGAATATGCAAATCATACCTCTTTGACATGTAATTCCGACGTTTGTACAGACATCCGTCAAAATAACTGATAGAATTTCATAGATTTCTGCATATCCATAAAATAGAAATTCAATATGACTAATAATTTTCGATTCAATAGACGAGTCTTATGATTATATATATATATATATATGTATTATCTAAAATCAACGAAATGTAGATGAATACAAAAACATTCAGTGTTGATTGTTATTCTATCATGTCAATTAGAAAAAAAAAGTCTTTGATTAGTATCAATCATATAACTGGCTTAGACTTGTTTACCAATTACATCCTTTTTTTAAGGTTTATTCAACACTATTCAAAACATATTAATTACTTCATGTTCATTAATTTTCATTTCAGTTAGAAGGTTTTTCCCTGAAAAACAAATGAACTAATATTTTCCTTAATCTAGATGTCGCTGGAAGCTAAAAGAAGGAAAAGTAGTAAGTATAAAATATATATGTTTGTTAAAGTTTGTTTTATTATTCTCTTTTCTTCACTTTTCATTTGATACAAAAATATGTGTACTGCTGACATTTTCAACAGTTCATAAAGATGACGCAGAACAAAATATAATAATAGAACATACATCTCTGTATTCCTTGATTGAAAAACATATATGGACAAAAGACAAAGAAAAAGAAGTATCAGACACGTAAGGGGATATTCAAAGACAAAAAGAAAAAACAACATGTGAAACAAGATTACGCGAGATTCGAACAGAAGCCAGACTCGAATTTTCAAAGTATGGATTAAAAAGGAATTCGCGCTCTTCGATGAAAATAATATATTTATTTTTCTGAACTCGATGATGATGCTGTTGATTGAACAGATACTTGACTTTGCAGTACATTTGATGTGTGATTATTTTCATTTGTATGTCCATTATCGGATGATTCCATATTCGTTGATGATCTAATCATATTTGATACTGATGTTTGACATGCGCCTAAACTAGTCGGTGAATGTTGTGATCTCGGTAGAGTTGACGAATCGGGCTGAAGAAAATTGAAGCAGAGTATAGTATCATCGTGTGAACTGGAAACGATTTGAAATTCATCGAATTGCAGACGGAATACACGTCCTGTATGTTCACTAAGAGTTTTTATACAGAGTGATGCTGTTTGTGAACGTGGATCAAGTGCAGCTTGAAGATCCCATATTTTGATTTTACCTGATTTTTAATGTAAAAATAAATATGAAAAATATTAAGAAAAAAATAAAAATCTAATTTACCATCATAGGCACCCGAAACAATACGTTTAGAATCGAAACGAATACATCGAACAAGTTCATCATGTCCTTCAAGTATACGGAGACATGCACCACATTCAATATCCCAAACCTACAAGGATAAAAGTCCCAAGTCAATAATTTTGATGCACGAAATATTTATGAGATAACACAAACAGGAAAAAAAGCATAATCAAAATTCTTTGTTTTTTGCCTCATATAATATAGATGCACGCTATTAGATTGTTTCTGACGGATGCTCCAGCTTTATTTTCGAAGTTCGTCTTATTTACACTTGCTAATCTTCCTACAACTTACTCGAATAGTATTATCTGAAGATCCACTAACAACAATATGATCTCGATACTGTAGACAGGCAATGCCTCGTTTATGACCAAGAAGTGTTCGAACAAATTCACAAGTTGTTGTGTCCTATGAGAAAAATAAAGTAACAATTTGCGAAAGAAAAACAAAATCATCTTTCTTACCCAAACTTTAATTGTTCGATCACCACTTGCACTAACTATATATTTATCATCGAAATCGACTACATTAACTGCAGCACGATGTCCAACAAGTACACGACGTATAGTTATATCAATTGGTGAATTCATTTGCCAGACAGCAATCGAACGATCTTTCGAACATGTTACCATTGTACCATTTGAAAATCGAAGATGAAGTACGGCTTCACAATGATGTAAAAGTGTATTAATTAATTCACCAGTTTTAACATTCCATACACGTATGGTTGAATCCGATGAACCGGTAACAATAACTTTTTCATCATATTGTAAACATAAAACACTACCATTATGTCCTGTTAAAACTTTAACGCATTCGAGTGTTTTTCTATCCCATATTTTAATTGTATTATCTCGAAGACCACTAACTATTTTTTCATCATCATATTGTAAACAATAAACACCTTTGCTATTCTGCGAACGGCATTGAATTTTTTCTAACTGAAAACTTCCTTTACGCCAATTTGCTTCTAACTGTTCAATATCGTGTACGATTTGAGGATACAATTGACGATAAAATTCATGACGTTTAGGCTTTTCACCATTGATTATTAATTGACGGAATAGATATTTCGTCCAACCACGACGATCGGCTAGGCCACGCCATAATGAATTTGAGAGAAATTTTCTTTCGATTATTTTTTTCCATAGCATACCTAGATAAGATCAAGAATATTCATTATCAAGAAACAAAAATATCCATTGAATTTTTTTTTCTCTTAACTAACCATCTGATATAACATGATACCATTCACGACAAACAAGTTCGGTTGATTTCAATGATTTATCATCTAAATATCCAAGAATTTTTTCTGCAACATGCTCAAGTCCATAGGATGCTAAACGTCCAACAAAGTCACGTTTTAACATTGGTAATAAAAATAAATTAACTTGTCCATGTTGATGACTTTTCATTTGTTTTAATAGATTTTCAACAAAACATAATTGTTCATGTTCGTTCCACGTGGAAAATGTTCTTAAAAATTGTTCACTATTTTGTTCATAGTTAATTGTTGATAATTTTTTTGTTGTACTAATATTGACTGATACAACATCATCAATACTCGATGAATTACCGGCCGAAAGAAAATCCATTTCCAAGGACAAATGAAATAGTAAGAAAAGAGAACAAAAGAAAAAAGAGAAGGAGAAAAAAAGTGAACACTAACAAATATCTAAAATGCAAAGATTGATGAGCTTGTTTGATAGAATGACGTAATTTAAGAAAGAAATGTTCGCGAGTTGGTAATGTATGCCTTGATACGTGTCTTACATTTCGTATATGTTCGCCTTCTATATTTGCCCGAAGGGTTGAAATATAAAAAGAGAAGAAGAGAAAGAAGAAAAAACTTTACTCAGTCTACATAGTCATCCCCGTCTTCTTTCCTATCGACGTCGGGCGTCAAATACAAGCCAACATTGTCATACTTACTCGTTTTTCTCTTCTTCGCAAAAACAATATTGGTAACCATATGAGTAGGGTACAGCAAAATGTATGTAGGAAGAAATGAAATATAAGAGTACTTTTAGCGTGAACGTAAGTGGTGACATCATTTGAAAAGAAATGAAAGAAAAAGAGAGAAGCGAAATAAAGAGGTGGGGTGTGGAAAAGGAAAATTGAAAAAGAATATGCTTTTTTTTTCATTTTGCTCTGTTTCGCGAATAGAATAAAACTTTTTTTTTCTAAAACAAAAAGAATAAATTAAATTAGTATGTTATTTTGTTGTTCTTTATAAATTTAGTATCTGACAAAAACAAACAACAACACAATAGATAGCTTTATAATATTAAAAAAGAAAACTAGTACACTGTTATAACACATCAGTCCAATTTGAAAGCACAATTAAACAGTTTAAAAAAAGAATTGCCAGTCATAATATCACTATATATGCGCATATAGTGGAATATTCCATATTTTTTAATTCAAGTAAATTACTTGATAGATAAAGCTTTTTGTTGACACTGAAAAAAAACTTAAATTTACAAACACAACAATCACATATATACAAACACACTCGAGTATAAAAAGCAAAACAAAAAATTATATACATATTTTAAATTGAATAATAAACAGGAAATCACCGGTGACTAAACTTGTTTCTATCGACTAATTAAATGAAACATTATTTTCAAGATGTGTTGTCGGTAATTCATTGGGTTCACTGTTCATTTAAGCATTATCGTCGGCGAAAAATGGCATTGTGTTTGATGATGACGTTGATTGTTCACTAAATCGTGCTAGATTTGATAAACTTGCCATTTGTTGTAGTTGACGACAATATTCTTCACTTGGATTTGTTGACATAACTATATCCGGTTGTGGATACGTTTGAGTTAAATTTGCTTCCGATAAAACATATTGAGCATCATCATTATTCATAGTCGATATATCCTCCTTATCACTTGAAGAATCTGTTCGATACGATGTTGCTGTACTAATACCTTCACTTATTTTACGTTTTCTATTTGAAGTAGAACGACGCACATTTGATTGAGTCGTAGATGGAGGTTGACGTGGGCGTGAAGAAGAAGAATGCCGTGGGAGTTGGTTACCACCATGTGAAGATATTCGACTTTCCGTACATTCACAACTAAGAAAAAACAAAATCAACGAAATAGTTTCAATGTAAAAACATAAAAAACGCTTCGAAATTAATTTACTCTTGAAGGTGATAACAATATTTTGTATGGTTTTCGTCGCCAAACCATGACCAAAGATAATTGACTGCTCGTTTTGGCATCGACGATTCATTTGTATCAGTTGATGGACGAAGATTATTCAAGACTCTAAATAGAAATTATTGTATTATCGATTCAAATGCAATAAAAATACTCGATGATTCACTTTACTAATAACAATAAATAGAGAAGATTTTTTTTAGATTTTAAAGCAATACGAAAAAGAAGAAATAATGTCTAATGTAAAACTATTATTTGATGTTGACGTTTTCTATAGACTAAACAACAATAAAAACATCAAAGAAGACAAATCAATGAATTTGTCTGATTGTAAATTCTATTCTTAAAATAAATAAAATCTTGCTTTTTTTTCTTCTTCATTGATGGTTAGTCAAACTGAGACGAAGAACATTTCCTATTGCTGTAAATTGAAAAGAAACAGATGAATTTAAGGGGGTATAAACCAGAAGACGAAGTGTTTAAAAAGAAAACATCTGTAGTTATTCATTTCTTAGACAAGTACAAATGATTATTAAATAAATAGCTCTAATCTCGATGTTCAAGGTTATTTCTGAATAATTACAATCGAAATAGAAAAAAGTCTTTCAAAGAAAATTTGATTTGATTTTGAATAATGAAAATAAATTCAATTTTCTAGAACGAAAATTCTTCTTGTAATGAAACATGTTCGTAGATTACAATATGAGAAATTATTTGTTTCAATCACAAACTTTTCGCAATCGATTCAGTGCAAAGAAAAGTTCCATAGAGAAACAAAACAGGAGAACCGATTGCTCTTTAAGAAAGAATATGGTTAAACCTTGTTAGTGACACGCCGATCAATCGGTGTTGACATGACTGTATGTCGATTGCAAACTGTCAACAAAAAAATAGCGACGAGGTATCTCAATAGACACTAGTGTGCCCTTATCGACCGTTATTTTTTCCTTTTAAACTATGCACGATCAGATCGTTCCCTTCTTAATATGCGTGCCATGATTGTTTATCATAACATAATAGACATTGCATTGTTTTTTATTTATCTATGCATGAGTAATAGAACATATGTTAATCACATCCTCGAGACTGTTATTGTTCATAAAACTAGAAATAAGTACTGCAAGGACAGAGTTATCCATAAAATGAAACTCTTCTTGTTTACTGCCAATTTAGTCTAATAAATTTTGCAATAATTGTCTCTATATTTCTAGTTTCATTGAAATCATCGGTAAAAGTATTGACAAAACAGATTCTATTCAATTTCTTGTTATAAAACTATTAAGCGTTTACATTAAAGAATCGCATGAAGATAAAAAAAAGAGCGTCCTATTCTTCATTACGATATATGATGAAATGTTTTTGTTTTTACATCTAGGTTTCTTTTGTGATAAAGTAGAACTTAAAAAGAACATGTAACTGATAAAAAATTGCAAGATCACTCCATGTTATTTTAATTCAGTTTACGATTACGATAACAAAACTTTACATAGTCTCGTAACGCTCCTAATTTAGCCGCAAATCTATTCGATAAAACAAAACCTAATTTATACCTTTTTGTTGCTGCATAAGTAAGATCTATTGGCAATGTAAATGGTAAAGCCATGTATGTACACAGCTTAAAAATATTTGAATCTGTAAAATATCGTCCTATTGGTTCTTCTTCTTTTTGTCGTGCATCAGCAAAAACTATAAAAAAGAAAAAAGAAAAACGTCTAGTTTCCTAGAAAAACAAAATAGATAAATTCTTTGCCAGCAAATAATGGTGTTGGCAATTCTTTTTTTCGTAGAACCTTTCCACCATATGGACTATATGTAGCTTGACTGCTAGCAGCATTTGATTCTTCATCGGATTGATCGGAATTGCCACTGGAATTTCTCCCATCAGATGTTGATGCTGCCTCAATATCATCGGTGTTTTCATACATTTGTTCGATATCTTGAGCAATGCCACCATTTCTTAATTGATTTTCATCATCATTTGCAGGCTCTGTATATTCTGTACCGAGTACAGATGAAATATTTATTGTTGAACTTAAACGTATAGAACCAATAAGATCTAAATAAAATAAAATTTATAAACAAAATAAAAATCTCTTTATCAGTTACTTCTCGTTTGTAAAAACTTTAAACCATCAATATAGCCACGCCAACATATTTGTTTTAAAACAGAAATATTTGGCGGAAATAAGGCATGTGTCATACGATATAAATTTTCTTGTGTACATGATATATCTGTACCTATTGAAATCAAGATAGACGAAGATTAATGTATTCTTGTATACTAAGATATAAAACAATTCTAACCTCTAAAATCAACACTATAAAATGAACCAGATTCATCACGTGGACAAATATCACTTTCACCAGCAAATGGCGATACTAAAATAGTTCCTTCGTCAATTATTGGATTATTATTTGTTAGACCACCATCCCAATAATACTAAAAATACAGAATAGAAAATGATTGTTTATTAATTGAAATTTTTTTTATTACTTCTCCTCGAAATTTATGTGGAATTATTCCTGACCAATACGGCACAAAACTTGAACAAATAAGTACTTGAATAAGTTCTTCACGTGTGTGATATTGATTGACGATGACATTTTTATTATCTTTCCAACGTGTCAACGATATATATAATCGTCCTGAACATATTTCATGTGCATTTGTCGGTAAAATTCTTCGTAAGCCATTACGTATTATGTCGACAATACTAAATGTTGGATGCAATGGTCCCAACGCTCGACTTCGAGCTCGTATAGCTATTTCAAGTGCATCGCTACACATTTGTCCAAGACAACAACCACTCATTGCACAAGCAGCAACAAGTGAACCAGCTGAACATCCAGCCATTTTTCCATTGAGAATTGCCGGTGCATGTTCTTTAAATGCACAAACAACGCCAACATGATAAACACCCAAAAATCCGCATCCACATAATGATAAATTAATTGGCGAAGAATTCGCTTGACGCACCATTCGGCTTAGATTTAGTTTAAAAATAAATGAATAAGTAAATCTACAAATGAATGTGTACGAGATAAAAATTACGATTATATTATATTGTCACAAGATGCACAAGTACAAGCGTTTATCTATGATGAATAAAGAACGTATGTGCTCTTACAAGTCCGAATAGTTCGAAGAAAATGCTTATTCTATAACAGCATACTTTTTTTCTCTGTTGAGGTGTGTGCGTGTGAGCACATGACCTCACATTTTAACATAGACAGTAGGTGTGAATATTGCGTATATCTTGATAAAGTCAGATAAAATAATTACAAAGCATAAAGACATAAAATAAATGATCTTACTATCTTTCTAACAACATTTAGTAATCAACAGGAATGTATGCAATCTTATAGTTTCTACATACATATATATATATATACAAATACTAACTGTTTATCTTGATTATTATACAATAAGAAGCTTCGAGAATTTTTCTCAGTATTACGAATATATATATATGCATGAGTGTGACTAGCCCAGCCTTGAGTCCCACCTCTTTTACCTATCCTGCAGTGGCTACGGTTTGTCAGAGAAACATCTGTAATTTTTATCAGTGACAATGTTTGTATCAATATTCGTGCTCTATTATTTTGTAGGATTATAAATGATGTGTAAAAAGTTCTTTTTTTTCTTGTGATTACTTTTATAAAACGTTATCTTGAATAGGAATAGATTTTCGAAAAAAGTTATGTTGTTTTTGTTTCGGACAATATATTTATATCATGCAAACAATACAAACTCATCACTAATTATTAATGTTCTGTAACGGGGAAAAAATTCCGGTACTTTTTCCTAGAAAATATAGTTATAGTTGAGACGCCAAATGGGATTTGCCATTGCCGTATGAATCATATTTTATATGATAAGACCATGACGATGCGATATTTTTAAAGAGAAATGGATGGGTGTGTGTGTGAGTGAGTGAGTAAGTGATAGTTTCCTATGCATACTATTGGAACAGAAGAATCCAATGAATAACCAATGAAATAATATGCGTCGAATTCCTGTGTCAACTGTAGTTGTCGTTCGTTCTTGTTTTTGCATGCAATATTAATCTACTTTTGAGCAGGACATTTTCTAAAGTGCTCCTTCTAATAATAAATGTTATGATATAATCAAATCTTCACTAAATTATTGTTTTTATTATTGCATATAATCAAAAATATTTCATTGCATCGAATATTTTTTTTCAACGTTTCAAACTACCATATCAACTATCAAAGTTACATTTTTTTGTCTTGAAATGAGCTTTAATTACGTCAATTTATCAAGTGAAAATCGCCTGAATACAAAAAAAATACAAGGTTCTTTCTTTTGCACTCATGATTCACAATTACTTTCTTGATAAACTAAAAGATTATGTTCTTCGTCTAGATTTTCCTTGGATTCTTTGACTGTTCTTTTGGTACCATCTGCATCATAGTAGCACGATGATAGAAGGCTAAGCATATGAATAATATCGTCAATGATATAATTAATCATTATAGATGTTTGTAAATGTCGGAAACAGTCAGCTCGTTGCCTTTTGTGGCTATGATATTATCTTCCATAGAAAGAACGGACGAGAAAAAAAACTATGTAACAGAAATGCCTATGTCATATTGTAAACAATTTTCTTTATGGCCTTGCCCAGTTACTGAAAAGACCATCATGAGTTTAAAACTCGATCATTAAAAAAACACAAAAAGAAATGCATGTTTTGTTGACTTAGTTCTCTATTTTGATTTCATGTCGATTAGTGCAAGCGGAGAAAATCTCAAATGTTGGCACGAAATTTTGTTTTTTTCACTTGTATCCATGACACGATGCTAATACAATTGCGAGTGTTTCTTTTTCTTGATGGCTTGCATCTTACTACTGTAGAGAAAGGCTGTTTAAAAGGGAAAATGGTCGAGACTGAAAACTATGTCAGTACGATTAGATAAGATTCGTTTCATTATCACAAGAAATCCCGTTGGTACGATAAGTATTTGATTGAACTTTAATGAAAATGGAACGTTACTTACCATTCAATTCTATTCGAAAACAATATAAACTGCGGGTTAGTAATGAATTACAAATGTATGCTTTGAAATCATTAAGAGACATATTATTACTCGCATTAGCATTTTTTATTGAAAATACTGCATTACAAGTGATATCATCTGTTAAACACAATCATATTCCATTGCGTGATCTTTTTTATGAATTATTACGAAAGATTACTTCTCGTAAACAATTTTGTGTTGCCTATCGATTATCAGTCGAACAATTAGTTTTGTGTTGGATATTCTTCTGTTTTCTTAATGGTAGTAAAGGTTTAACTACGATTCAAAAAAGCATACGATGTTTAATAATAGCACGTGCATTACGTGTATGTCTTTTTTCTATGACAATTCTTCCATCTCCGAAAATTCACTGTAATTTTACTCAACCTATTAATCCATTCAAAGTTACTGTTGGCGGTGCTTGTAATGATTTGCTTTATAGTGGACATGTTACTATTTATACTGTAGTAGCTATTTCATTGACTATATTATCTCAAAATTATTCATCAAGGATATGTCGCTATGGTCTTCCGATATTAGTTTGGCTTTATATAACTCAATATATTATATGTACGATATTTGAACGTCATCATTATTCTATTGATATGTTTCTAGGCCTCATTGTCACATTATTACTATGGCAATGTAAACCGTTACATATTGATTTACCTGAAGTTCCACAAAATTTATTTTTACATTTAAATCAATTAGTTTTTCCTAAATTTCATTCAGCTCATAAAGAAGTTTAATATATGAACAAAAATCAGGAGTACACAACAAAACGAACAAAAAATGTTTTAAACTTTTTTAAATAATTCGCTAACATCTCGACGCTCCCAAATCTATGGAAAAAAAAGTAATATACTAAGTTAATAAATATAACAAGGCGAAGTCTTTTACTTGTAAATACGATTCGGAGAGTGTTATCATCTGAGGTAAAACATCGACGACATGTAAATCTTGTAATTCATACCATGTACCTGAACCCTAAATAAAAACGTGAAAAACTTTATTGAATTTCTTATATCTAAATCTAACAAACCTTATGTAAAACGTGAACACGATAGGTACCTTTCCCTAAAAAGAAAATGCTTAGTTTTTTAATCAAAACAGGAAGAATTTTCTTGTTACCAGGTTCTCCATCGTGAACAACATTAGAAATGAGATCATAAGTTGTTGATGAGCTTTCCGCTATTGCCGATGGTTCAATACGATATTCAGGTAATAGTTCTCGAAGATCCACGTTTCTAAAATAGCATAACGTTGAAACAGATGATTTGCCTTCAAAATGATAGACTATTTTATTAGATAAAAAGAAAATAACAACCTTTTCTTCATAATGTCAACCAATAGTTTTAATTATGATAGGTAGCATAAAAAAGACAAGAATTATTCGCTGAGATGTTCATGCAAAGCCTATCAAAATTTCTTCTATTAATATAAAATTGTATGCGACATATTTGTCCTTCTTCTATAAAAGAAGATTAACAACAAAATTTAATCACGCCATGAAAGCATATTTAATTTCTACGCGACATTGCAATAAGTCACGACCAAGTTACAACAACAGGTTGTTCAGTTGATCTCACCGATTTGGCTCATATTTTTATAATAGACAGCCCTAACAAAGTTAGGAAGAAACTGAAAACTTTAGCTCGAACCGATGATCTCTTCTGGAGATATATACATTCGAAGGAGGACGGNACGGAGCCGGAATTTTTTGTACGCCAATAATTTTCAGTAAATTTTCATTTTCTCAAGAACGATAAGAGCTGCTACAAAGCGTTTTTCACCATTAATAGTATAGTCAATGGGCTATCGTTTGATGGTATTGAAAGTATCCTATGTTTGAAAATATTCCTCCATACGATCGATCTGGTTCAGAAAATAGGACCCCATTGTGTATGACCGATTGGTCAGATTAGTGAGATGGGTGAATATCAATATAGTGCCATATGAAAGAGCACATCAAACTGCATCGAATGATGTGTTCAAAACTTTGTTATATTGATTTTCAGTGCCAAAATGGTTTTTAACAATATTATTATATTTTCGAGGCAGATTCACTTGAAAGCAAAAAAATTGTGCTAGTTTTCTTTTTGTTATTATTTTTATATATTTAAATATTCGTACATATTCTGATAGCGCGTGAAATTCTCTACAGTTCTATTCAAAAACATCTTGAATAACGCATATGGAATAAGAAAAACATCAAGCACAATAATGACACCCTCAATCTACGTTTTTTCCAAAGCCCACTTTTGTTTTCTGCAAGTGATTTGAACTAAGTTAGTACGAAAATAGAACAGCAACTATGCATTATGGTAGTACATAAGATTCTGTACCTTTTGATGTGTCCCTCAAAAATCATCAAGAGACGGAGGAGTATTCAGTATGGCGCATAATAGTTACACTCAACGAAAATCCTCTACAAAAGTTTTCATATCTAGGTGTTTTTATCGTTATAACTTACTTTGATAGAAAAACGAATAGCACATTTAGAATCATCATGAAAAACTGCATCTAACTGGATATCTTTTCGGAGAAAAATATTTTTTACCGAAAATTCATCTGAAGGAGGAGACCCCAGGGTGAATTTTCTAAAACAAACTGCTGAGGGGTACAACGGGTGACTTTTTGGTAGCAAATATTTTTCTCAAAAAAATATCAAGTTAAATGCAGTTTTTCATGCTGCTTCTAAATGTGCTATTCGTTTTTCTATCAAAGTAAGCTATAACGATGAAAACACCTAGATACGAAAACTTTTGTAGATGATTTTCGTTGAGAACGACTATTATCCTCCGTACTATATACTCGTTTACATCTCGGTGACTTTTCAGTGACATATCGAAAGATGCAGAATTTCAAGTTCTATCAGAACGCATAGCTGCTTTTGTATTTGCCTAACTAAAAAATTAAAAAAAAAGAACAAAAGTTGGTTTTGAAGAAATGCGCGGACTATGGTGTCTTTATTCTGCTTTGTTGTTTTCTCATCCAATACGTGTTATTCAAGATATTTTTTTATAGAATAGTAGAAAATTTCACGCGCTATCAAAATACGTACGAACATTTGAATATATAAAAATAATATATGAAAAACAACAAGCGCAAATGCTTTTCAAGTGAATTTTTCTTGAAAATGTCGTGCTCTTGCTGAAAAACTTTTCGCTACTGAAAATCAATATAAGGTTTTGAACACACCATTCGATGCAGTTTGATGTGCTCTTTCATATGACACTATATTGATATTCACCCATCTCACTAATCTGACCAATCGGTCATACACAATGGGGTCCTATTTTCTGAACCAGATCGATCGTATGGAGGAATATTTTCAAACATAAGATACTTTCAATACCATCAAACGATAGCCCATTGACTATACTATTAATGGTGAAAAACGTTTCGTAGCAGCTCTTATCGTTCTTGAGAAAATGAAAATTTACTGAAAATTATTGGTGTACAAAAATTCCGGCCCCGTCCTCCTTCGAATGTATATATCTCCAGAAGAGATCATCGGTTCGAGCTAAAGTTTTCAGTTTCTTCCTAACTTTGTTAGGGCTGTCTATTATAAAAATATGAGCCAAATCGGTGAGACCAATTGAGCAACCTTTTGTTGTAACTGGTCTTGACTTACATACAATGCCTCCTACTAATATTCATTTCAATTAAGAAAAGTTAATCTTCTTAAATACACATAGATGTGTTCAGATTAAAATTGCTGACTTGCATCAAAGTGAATGACTGGTTTTGCAAGGTATGAAAACATGTACTTTTATTATTCCCAAGAACATTTTACTATAGAAAAATGACTACTGATGACAAGTATAAGGTCATATTGATCCCGAAGACTTCCGACGAAATTTCTCCGAACACATTTTCTTCATTCTGATTGACATCTCGATACGAGAAAACGATGCTTTCCTCGAAGTAAACACTATGGTAACACACTTGTCATGATAATCTGTTAATACCTAATCCACGTCTATGATCTTAGGTTAAGATCCTATTTGTTGGAAATCTATCTATGGAAGAAATATCGAAAGGATTAAAGTCACTCGTGTATAATATGAAACAAATCCATATAATTAGAAACTAGTCTTTCCATAATCTGTCCCAGAGACAAATTACTTTTATCATCGACATGCACGGCTTTCAATCTGCAACAACAACAAGAAGAAGACATAGATTAGTTCCTCCTATTTTTTGAATGCGTCCACAAAGTTTTTCGCTGTTCATTGTGTTAACTAGGGTGTGAAAAGAAAATTTATGAAGTATCTGTGAAAAACTATTATATTTCTGTCTCCACTCACAAAAATAATCGCTAGTCTTCAATAAATATCTACTTTTAATATCCAGTTCACGGTGCAAGCAAGCCTATTACACATGCCTTTATAATTAATGTTTAGCTAAACTTATCATATAATCAATCATCTACATACTTGATTGGAAAATTGACAATAGTTGGATTTTTTTCTAGATAGAATGTGTTCTTTGTAAAACGCTAAAATGATGAAAGAAAAAAAGCGATTCATTGAGAAATTCAATATAAATAGGTAGTTTTACTCGAAAGCATAGAATAAGATAAGGTGGTAGTTTTCTTATTTCATAACGTTTGAGAAAATTATCTTTATATGTTTTATGTTCTTGTGCGGTTTGTCCATCGAATTTTGTTAAAATTTGAAAAAGTGGTACTTGTGGTATAATACTTTCTTTAAATTCATCCCGAAATAATGGTGGTGGCGGAATATCAACAGACAAAAATAAATATGGAGTTTCTTCATCATATTCTGAAAAAAAAGAAGTTTTTTAGCAAAATTAAACGAACAAATCTGTAGACTCTACCTCTATATTCTTCGATTGCTAATAGTTTTCGTTTTTCATCTTCACTCTATAAAATAAAGTTAAATTCAACAATGAAACAGACAATAAAATTTTTTCTTTTCATTTTACCAAATCAATCGGTGGAATTTTTCGTGTATAAATTTTCATTTTTCCTTGAAATGCCTTATAAACAATACTACTATTGGACTTTTTCGTACCATTTAATGTTAAATGAAGACTATTGAGAAACCACGCAAGAAATTCCACAGGATCACCTTGTTGTGTTATTTGAAAACGTTTTTTACTACATTTAACAACAGCTTGTAACATTTCATGTGGTGATACATGGGCTTTGAAATTTCTTGGATTCCATAATTTACGAACTAATTCACCAAAACGTTTCACTAAATTTATCATTATATCACCCGGTGCTACACGTATGTCAGCATAATTATCTTCTTGAAGAAAATAATCGCGCAGTGGACCCACATTAACTAAAGCCTTAAAGAAAGCAATGTGTAACTTTAGAAATTCATATCGAAGAAAAAAATGAATTTACTTGTAAGATGACGTTGCAATAATCATTGGCTTTAATATTATTTAAACCAACAATGCCTATTGAGAAAAATTATTAATTAAAAGGATGATTGCACTTTTAAGTTGTGAACAAACCTGGTAAATATAAAGTTCCATCGTAAGCACGAACCATTTTTTCATTTTTATCTAATTGTTCTATTTGGTCTTTTGAATAAGTTGGATTCAGTACATACTAAATATAATTAAAATGAGTATTTAGATTCAAACGTTTTCCGCCATTTACTTTTATATCGTCTAACGATGAATCTATGATTTCATAATTATCGGGTAAACAGAAAAATTGAAGTGAATGAAGATTAATAAATACATGATGTTCTCCTTCAACACTATGTGTATAAGCACAAGATTTTTGTCCACGACCTTGAAAAATAAGAAAATTAAAGGTATGCTTAAATATAATAGATAGGTAACCTTGAAAATATTTGCCACAAACTAAACATGCATAGACATTATTGTTTGATAGTGTTATTGAACAAAGCTTTTCAAAATCAAAATCGAGTAAACTCCTAAAAAAAAGAGAAATAAATGATTGTTTCAAATATTATTCTAGATTTAATCGTTACAAACGTAACTATTCAGATTTTTTTACCTTGTCACGTGATCTATTTTCTCTACTCAGTTAAAAACGCAATCTACGCAGTGCTCAAAATAATGAGATCTCGTCGGAGCTTGATCTTAAAAATAAATATGAATCGCTTGCTACGGATACTACTACTCCTAATTAACACATCGGCGCATGATTGATTATTCCGTGAATAAATAATTAAGCTTTTTTTTCTTTGAAAAATCATACCGATTAATTGTATCCAAATACGGACAATTCCGACTGCGACCATCGATAGTTGTCGACTCTAATTTAGCACTTGTATGAATTAATTCTCGAAGAGTTGTACCAACAATAGGTACGCCTATAAGATAAATAAATCATATTGTCTATCGATAGAATGGGTTCAAAAAACAAAGCATTACAAACCCTTTTTCTTTTTTGCTACTGGCTGATAACCAGCACTAGCCGATGGAGTTACGTCATAAGGTCGTTTAATACCTTGAATTTGTTTTATATCGTCATTCATCTAAAATTTAAAAAAATAATTATGATGCTTGCTTGCCAGTTAAATTCTGTTTATTGTTGTCTCAAGAATAAAGGACAACACGGGACAAAAACAGAGAAGAAAATAACACTTGATTAATAAAAAAAAAATTATGCTTTTGTCTTTTAATGAGAGTTTTCCTATTGTTAAATATTTTGATATCTTTATAAATACAATCCTTCTGGTGTGCCTTGATTTTTTCGATAGAGCACAGTTTCTTTACTCTTACGAAAATCTTCATTTGTAACTTTCATTCGTCTTTCACGTAATGCCATTAAACCTGATTCAGTACAAATTGCCTAAGAAGAAACTAACATTATAGAAAAGAAAAACAGTTCTTATTATTAGTTAACAAACTTTTATATCAGCACCACTAAGATCATCTTTAGCCATGATTAATTCTTCTAAATTAACATCATCAGCAAGTGTCATACGACCTGTATGAATTTTAAAAATCATTCGACGTGTTTTCTCATCTGGCAATGGAAATTCAATTTTTCGATCAATACGACCCGGACGAATCAAAGCTGGATCAAGACTATCAATACGATTAGTTGCCATGATAACCTGAAGATTTTCGATATGGAATAAAAAATATACGTAGGAAACGTTTTTCTATTTTACTTTCACATCACCACGTGAATCGAATCCATCAAGTTGATTAAGTAATTCCAACATAGTTCGTTGAATTTCTCTTTCACCACCAGAATTGGACTCATAACTAAATAATAAAATATATTATATCGAAAATGTTATTATACAAAAAAAAGCAGAGTTATGCGATCAGTTCATTTTATTCCACGGAATAATGAATTCTTACCGTTTTGTTCCAATAGCATCAATTTCATCAATAAAAACAATAGCTGGTGCATATTCTTCAGCAACACGAAATAATTCGCGAACGAGTTTTGGTCCATCACCCTAAGTGAAGTTTTTTTTTTATCAAAAGGTGAATCTTACGCAACATTTCTAGATGCTTACTAAATATTTTTGAATTAATTCTGAGCCAACAACACGTAAAAATGTAGCCGATGTTTGATTTGCTACAGCTTTAGCTAATAAAGTTTTCCCTGTTAAAAATAAACAACAAATTTATATATTTAAGAAAATAAACTTTATAATTATGTACCTGTGCCAGGTTGACCATAGAGAATAACACCTTTAGGTGGTTTTATACCCATCTCTTCGTAATATTCCGGGTGTGTCAATGGTAATTCAACAGCTTCCTACAATATAAATTTTTCTATGATTATCAAGAATATCATAAAAGTCGTACTTTAATTTCTTGAATTTGTGTCGCCAACCCACCAATGTCAGCATATGTTTCTTTTGGTGCTTTTTCAAGTTTCATAACTGCAACCATCGGATCAACATCATCACCTAATACACCAATGACAGCGTGAACCTAAAATATGCATTGCTGTTATTATTATTAATCTAAACTATAAATTGTTTTAGATGATTCGAGTCAGAAACAATATTGCTTATTATTTCCAAATTCATATGTACACTATTCTATTGATACGAGTAGCATGAAAAGCTATTATTTAAAAGCTAGCAATGGTGCGTACAAAATTCTGTGTCGAACTCTGATTGACCGATTAATAAGGAAATACGCCGTGTGACAAGTTAGATAAATTTACCTTATGGTTTAATAAGACTGTACATCCTGGTTCAAGTTGATCTTTATCAACGAATGACATAATTGTAACATAATGTTCTGAACCAACCGAAGTTGATACAATAGCATGATTATCATCGATGATTTCTTCTAGTGTTCCAACAGCCATCGGTGAACCTCTAGAATAAGATTTGACTTTTACGAAAGAAAAGAATCATAATGATTTAACATACCGAATATCATCAACTTTAGAGCGTTCTTCCTACGAATAAAGAACAAATTAATTTAGCTTGAAGATAAATCTATGAATATAATACTTCATGACGATCTTCTTGTGGTTTTAAACGTTCTTGATTTTTAATAAATTCTTCTTCGAGTAATAAATAATCTTTTATACGTTCGAACCGAAGTTGTTTCAAACGACAACGTGTATATGGCAGTACTTGTGGTAATTTATTAGCCGCTTCAGGACCTCGAGTGCGTTTTTTTCGTTTACCAATGCGAGTTGGAATTGGTGGTTCATATTTTTTTTTCTATAATAAATATTAAAGCCGGTTAGATCAAAATATCTCTCTCTCGCTGTGTTATTCTTACTTCTTTATCACCAGCTCCTTCACCTCGCCGTTGGCCGCTTGAACCTTGATTTCCCTAGAAGAACAATCATAATTCAATTAACCACTATTTCACGCATATTTTTACCATAATTTAATGATTATTTTACTAATAAATCTGAAGAGAGAAAAAAATATATGATTATTCATACTAAGAATAAACAATACTAATTTAGATAAATATTATATATAAAGATTTTAGATTCTTGTCTCACTTGAACGCGTCATTATACAGAACTGATAAATTATATATAGAAATCTTAAACAGTACACATAAAAGCAAAAATATGTCGTTCTTTGTTTAAAAATCTATACGATGGAATTGTTAAGTTAATCAATATGTGTAAGACATGATTTATGAGATGCAACATGTTGTACATGATCACCGTTATCCGCTGTTTCTTGTATTGATGGTATCGAGCCTATCTTTGATGGTCGTCGATGTTCCATATCGTGTTCGACAGCTTCTTCCCATGATTCATGTTTAACACCTTCAGATAAATGAAGAAGTTTGATATGTACGGCCATCGTCTTTTCGTTTTTTGGTGGCATTAGCATTTTTTTAAATGAAACACTGTCTCCTACTCTTGGTACATAATCATCATCAATACTGAAGCAATAAATCAAAATAATAAAATTTCTTAAAAAAAACATTTTAGTAGAAATAATTACTCAGAAACATGAGCAAATATTTGTTGACTAGGATTGTCCTTAGGTTGAATATAGCCATGACCTTTTTCACGACAAAATTCTGTAATTACGCCTTCATATGATGGACTTTGTAATGCCCGCTCACATCTAAACCACAAATATATTGATAATTTAAAAAGAAATTGATTAATCCGTTTTATTTAAATTGAACATATCCAATAGGATATTCAATCAAGGATCTGTCCTTCTTTCTTAATAAAGATCTCATAACTAAAGCCGGAAATTGAAGTCTTTGAATATAAAGAATCTCTTCGTTCTAACAAAGTTAATAACCGTTCTGAATAGCTGATGTCGAAAAATATCGAAGTCATGTACAGGATATTCACAATGATCAGCTTATTTCAAAAAAGGGAATTCTTACTGTGAAAGCGTTCGTTCTCGTTTTGGAATAACCGGATGTGGTAAATGATCACCAGAACGAGACGAAAGGGATGCAGACGACGATGAATTAGACATATAAAAAGAGTCAAAAATCAAGACTAGATCTAGAATATATAAATATGCATATAATAAATCTAGGATTTCTGTTGAAAGAAAAAGTCCTAAGATTTGTTTTCTTTATTCTTAACAAAATTATACAGGAAAAAATTCGACAATCCATTAATTTTGATCACGCATATTATCAATTTCTGATAATATATATGAGAAAAGATGATTATATGTCAGAATATTTGATGTCAGATTATAGCAACATTGCTGACACAAATATTACTTTAAATAAAAATTCTGAAATACAACATATCTAACAATTTTAAACGTTGTGAACTCAATAGAACCATCATCTCGATTGATCTATTATTAATAATTTATTCAATCCATTATTTTTACAAATATCTTTCTTATGTTGATCGTCAAATATTTGTTTCATTCAATGCCATTCTGATCTATACTCATAATTGTGAACTCGTTCAGCTAAAATATTTTCTATTATCATCTACAAGAGAAATATTGTTTCATTAATTTCTGTTTTCTTTTTGGATAAGAAAAAAACACAGTTACAATGGCGTTCGAAGAACATTTTATTTTTTTTACAGCTTACCCTTAATTACATTTCTCCATCGTCTGTAGCTGATAACGATTTTGTTCTATGCGATATATTTGCTGCTGTTTCGTCCTCCATAGCTTCCGTACTTTCAGAATCCATTTGATCTTGTGGTAATAAAGCTGACAGATAGGGCAATGGTGATGTGCTATTTTTAATAAGATAATAATCATTTATATTAGTTCCATGACTATTAATAACAGATATTTTTTCGTTTGTTTGCAATTTAAATTTAACTAATGAACGTTGTAATGCGCGACGTTGATCAGCTAATGAATGTCGAACACGCGGATAGTCTTTGCGTAAATCAGCATAGGTTTCACTTGATATAAATGTATGAGGATCAGGAAATTCAGGTAAAAAATCCGGTATATATATTGGACGATGCTTTCGCGAAGAATTATTTGTTGTTTGCGTAACACGAAATAATTTCATTGGATGTGTTTCACTTTGACGATCAGGTGAACGTAGACGATGTTTTATTGGATGATTAAATGTTTGTTGTAATGATGGTAATTTAACATTCATAATTTGTAATGAACGCACTACATCGGCTGGACAGGGTTCTGTACGGGATTGAACTTCCATAAAATTTTTAATATTGAGTAATAACCGACGAAGTATTGTATTTGATATATCAAGTATTTGATGATAAGCTGAAAATTCAATATTGTCAAAGCCATATTCACGTACAATAACGGCTAATGAACGTTCAAAAAGAATATCAAATGGATTATCACAATTCGCATCCATCGTTTAAATGTAAAATGAATAAGATTCAAATGACTCGCTGTTGTATGAAGAAATAAATGAATGAATGACGATTGATTATCATAGAAAGATATTAGAGTCACGGGCCAATCAGATTCATCGATAGCTTTTTTTGACTAGAAAGTAGTGACATCACTCGATAGAAAAAAGAATTTCATTTAATATATAGAGCTTTTATAAAAAAAATGGTTTGATTGATTAACATATATGCTTTCACCACTAGACTTTTAAAGTGTTATTAATGCTGGAATTGCCTAGACTGTTGTTTTTACTGAAATAATTAATTAGATAGAAACTTATTCAAGTATCTAATAGTAAATCTATCATAGTCATGCACAGAATTTCATTAATAAAAGTCAGAAGGACGAGATGAAGAAACCTAATTGCATATATCATAATGAATATTTGTAAAAGTCCAGCAATGATAATTAAAGAAATTTAATTGATGGTTCAATTTTTATTAGGACATTTTATTTTAAAAAGTTTTTTATTATCAATTCAATTCAGATAAAGTTTATTCGTCCAAAATGTTGATATTATTTTTAGCAATAATTCTCACTAGAAAATGATACAAATTGAAGTTATATTAAAAGTAGTGAATTATAAAAAAGTGATTTTTTTTATCATAGACAAGGCGGCTAGGTAGCAAATTTAGACAATAAAATAAATAAGGAATTTAGTAACTATTTTTCAATCATAAGGCAAGAAAAGAATTTCTATTAATATGATTATTTTCTTGGCGATCTCATTCATTCATTTAAAAACTTCTTATAACATTTTGAATTTTGAATTTTTCACATGCCAAAGTCTTACCGCTATTTTCGAGAAGATTTGGCAACAGATTAAATCTATGTGCTAGTTGTCGCCAAGTTAACTGGAACAGCTGGGCATATAGATAACTTGCGAGACATTGCCAGCTTGAGTTTCAAATAAAAGAGTCACGAATAGAAACATATTTTCTGCAAGTGCAAGCTCGGCGAAAAAAGAAAAACTTTTGTATGTCTCCTTCAATACATGAATGAGATTTTTGAAGCAGCTTAACTTTGATTGATTCATACATTGAAGACAATCAACATAATTTTCCAACATGAAAGACCCATTAAAATAGAATAATTCATGCAATTTGTAGTGCCCTTGTGAATGCTTTATTGAACAAGAAAATAAGATACAGATTATATGAAAAAAGAAGTCTTTGCACTTGTGTAATTGAAAATTCCTAGCCTCTCAGTGAAAGAACCTTCTCAAACGGATACTTCAAAAAAAATGGGGGCAAAAAAAGTTTACACAATTTAAAGGATAGGAAAAGAAAACTTAACGCTTTCATTCTATCAAGAATCGAAACTAAAAAAATCCGTGAAAATTTTACTCGAATCCGAAAAGCAATGAATTACAATGGTTGAGATGCGCACAAAATAAAATAGTATAAACTACCAGTAAGATAATTTTTACCACTAATATGTAAGATTTATTTATAAAAAGAAAAATTCAAGTAACAACTAAGAATCTATTCAATAATATTGCCTGTTTCAGAGCAAAAGATATTGAGTACGATTTGATTGATGCAAGTTTTCAATTTCAAACCCACCGAAAGCATATTTTCGTCGACTGGGTAGCGGAATTATGTCACACGTAGCTTTACAAGTTTCCTTATAGTCTCAATCAAATTTCAATGAGACCAAGACGTTCAATCATTTGACTAGATTAATAAAAATAAATCTTATAAATATACTTATTGTTCTTTGTCGACTACCATGGTGAGTTCGAGAGAGGAAAAGCTCTCTATGGCTGTAAAATATGATGATTTTTATTGAGTTTATGCTAGGAAAATGCACATAATCATAATTAATATGAATTATTTTCAGTGACCTCCAGTTTCTATTTACGTTTCAAAAGTAATCAGAAGTGGTTTTTTTCCAATCAGTTGCAATAAGACAGAAAACATATTTTTCTCATTCTATTGGTCTCTTCTGAACATCGACTATGTTTCTCTATGGTGATCCGAATGCGAGGCTAACAAAGATTATGAAAATATTTACAGTCATATTTTTTTTATTCTTTTTATATCAAACGGATTTTCATATAATTTAAAATATAATTGTTTTCCTGAAGTCATTCAAGTGGAATAACATCAGTTTTGTTTTTCGAACTTTAAACATTACTTCTACGATTGAATTAGCTGATTTGATAGCCAGAAGTGCGCTATTCAATATTTTTTTAAATTTATCTTGCAAACGAAAAACAATAGTATGCGTGAATTACTTGGTATTTGCTATTCTACTTTCTCTCAATTTCTATTTTGGTATTCATACTATGATGATGTGCATTATTTATACGGATAGAGCAATTATTTCTCTTGGAAAATTAAAAACGAAGTCGATTAATTTTAAAGTTAAGATTACTCTAGAAAATAGAGTTGATCGATATTTTTATCGTCAATATAACGTAGTATTCAAAAATATTTAGTTTCACTGTTTGATTGAGCAAAGATTTAATCTCTTTGACGAATACCAATTTTCAAATGCATGTATGTAAAATTCTCATGTTAAAATATAATTTTAGGTTCCTGTTGAGTGTGAAATTCTAGTTTGAATGTTTTCATGAGCGATATTACTGATATATGCACGCTAGAAACTAATTTCTTCTTGAAAAGAAAGTTGCATTTGCGACAGGGGACAGTTGAGTATGTTTAATCAAATCTAATTATTTTCCGTTCACATAGAGAAGCTGTATCTCGTGTATACAACAAGACATACATAGTGATTGTAAGAATTACTCGTTGTATATTTCTTTCACATGAAAATGAATTCGCTTCCACGTCAAAAATCACATAAGATATTCATGATGAAATTTTCGATTCGGCGATCATTGCATGTAAATTATCCCACCAATCAATCACGTATATTTGAGAAAAAAATTCGATTAAACACATGACTTCGTTCGGTGGTGTTTCTTGTCGTTTCTCACGAGAAGAGTCGACTACTGGCATCCTTGCGCATCTCATTTATATTAACATCAACAGTAATTGGGTAGACGGACGGTTTCTTTTTCGATAGGTTTACAAGTTAAAAGGCGCAAAACATTTCCTTTCACAGTCGCAGTACGTATTGCATTCAATATAATATTCTACGTCATTGTCGCTGCAAACAACAACAAACGACAACGACGAATAAAAGTATACTGAGCTTTCAAAATATTTTCGTTTCATTTGAATGATTACAAAACAGCATCACTCAAGAGAAACCTCAAATTCGAAACAATCTGACGTTCCCTCAAGAAACTCTAATTTAGAATCGTTTGCATGCCTATGGCTTGATAAAAGCGTTAATTCAACGGAAGATAATATCCAAACTCAGAAAGAACTACGCCAAGTTATCAATCATCTTCGAACATTTGATGATCTTAATCAGTGTGAATACATATATTTCATTGATGCAGTATGTTTATTTGCTGTTTGACTTAAATTCTTAGATTCATGACTTATTTGTTGATCGTTCGAAACTTGTTGCAAGAATAGAGCAAGATCAGAAAGCAAGAACCAAAACAGAAGCTGGTAGTTCCATATCGGTTATAACATCAGGTTCTCAATCACTTGAAACTCGTAATGCTATTTTCATGTGGTTTCAATTGTTTATCGAAGTTCTTCTTCGCATGAATCATAAGTCCGATGATCGTGAAGAAATATTGAACATGTGCAAAAATAGTTATAAGGGTAATAAAAAAGAGATGAAAATTATTGATGACTTTGAAAAGAATTATAAAGCAGAAAATGCTATTTGGTGGTACACACTAGAATCATGTTTTCATAAAATACTGAATAAAGCATTACGAGTACAAGATTTCGACACATTATTTGCTCTTCGATTCTTTATAGCTGATATTGCCAAACAGATTATAGATGAGCATAAAAAATTCATTCGTACAAGCGCCAATCGACATAAAATTCGTGTTTATCGTGGTCAAACGATTTCGAACGATGAACTTGAATTAATGAAAAAAAGTACTGGTGAATTTCTCTCGATCAATTCTTTTTTATCAACAAGTCATAAGCGTTCAGTGGCGGTGAATTTTGCTCGCACGTCTCATAAAACACATGAAAATCAGCGTATTATTTTTGAAATTGAGATCGATCTGCATTTACAAACGAAAGCATTTGCTAATATAGCTCCAATGAGCGCAATTAAAACTGAAGATGAAGTATTTATTGATCATGGTTGGAGCGTTGTTTCGAATTGAACAAGTGATTGAAGATGTAGATGCTGGACTTTGGATTGCTCATGTATCGTTAGCAAGTGAAGAAGATTTTAAATGGAAAGAAACATTTTCTTCCATGAAAGCTACCATAGGTGAGACTACTGATTTGAATTCATTGGGGAAAATTCTGGTCGAGATGGGTGAGAATGAACAAGCACAAAAATGCTACAAACGAATGTTAAATGAAGCGCAGCTTGCTAGTGGTAATGCAGAGCTAGGCTTAGGCAGAGTCAATATACTATGTAGACAGGCTGATGAAGGTCTACAACATCTCAAAGACGCATTAATTATAAAAGAACGTATTTTGGGTCAGAATCATGCAGATGTTGGAGAAATTCATACTTGGTTGGGTACGCTTAACTGGTACGTGCGACATGATCTTGATCAAGCGTTGGAAAATTTGAAAAAAGCGATTAAAATCCAAGAAGCAACACTTTCACCTGATTCTCTTCCTCTTGCTCTGACCTATAGTAACATAGCGGATACGTATGAATCGATGGGAAACTATGATTTAGGTCTGGAGTATCACATGAAAGTTCTCAAAATTCGAAAAACAACCTTGCCTGAAAGTCATCCACATATTGCTGAAACCTTCAATAATGTAGGAACATTATATGAACATAAAGGAAACTATACAGAAGCACTGGAATATTTTGAAAAATCCATGGAAATCAAGCAAAAATTTTTCCCACCTACTCATGAAGAATATGCTGTGACCGCAACAAATATAGAAAGATTGAAAAAGAAAATGCAAAACCAACATTGATATTCTATTGAAGAAATACAATTTTACATTGATCTACGTTAGTGTTATCTTCAGAGATGATTAGTTATGATTCATCTTCTGATATTATAATTTTTCTGTAGTTTCTTTTTCCAAAGTTTAAATAAAGACATATTGTAAAGAATCTAACTGTTCGACTCATGTACAAGATCGTTGATGTTCACGTATGATAGAATATGCATTCAATGTTAGAAAAATGAATTGTGTTCAAACGAAACCGGTGTGTTTAGTGAGAAGTTTACTCAGTATACTAGATTTAAATGTTATCGTGCGTTATTTTGAGAGAATTTTGTTTTCTTGGTGGACTGCCAATGAAATGAGGAATACACACTTTTTCGTGTAAAATTTTATTATTATCTCAATTTCACTTGTTTATATGGATTGATTGTGTAGCATTAGTGATGTTACACATAATATAGACGCCTTTTTAATGTTGACTTAAATTATGTTATTTTTTCAAATTTGATGATTGATCTGGTACAAAGAAAAAGGATTCGTTTTGGGGTTCTTAAAATGAAACCTATCATTTGTTGAGAGAAAATTATGCACCGACTTATGTTTGGATTTAGCAGTAAAGTAAATGTACAAAACAAAAGATGAAGATCTGTATGCTGACGACATAGTCTAAATTGTTAATAATAAAAAGAAAAAATTAGTTATGTGCTTTTTTTACATTGATCTAGTATTTTCTTTTCTTATCAGTTATTGAGTGCCCCTTTTCTTGCGTATAATTCTTTTTAGATGCTCCAGGTGATATTAGCTGTTCATTATTGCATTGCCAACCAGACAAGGCATAGTTTCTAAATTTTATACACCAATACATCCATGATAATAAGAGAATTTGAATTTTACGAGAGCCTTTATTCAATACTGTTTTTTTCTCATGTTTCGGAAGAAACTTTGTTTTTTGTTTTGACTATTCTCATCCTTTATACCAACATCGTCGATGTCTGCACATGGGCAGCATTGATTCAACTATTCTACAAGAAAAAGACGAAAAACACATCATCGAACTGTGAAGAAGGGAGCAAAATCCACATCAATCTGTGTTAAAGTTAAAAGAAAAACAGCGACGAGTGAAATTCGGTCTTCCTCAAACGATTTCATTTCTCTTGAAGTACTGCGAGCAAAAACCAGTCAAATAAAACGGTAGAATCTATCGAATACTCAATGAATTCCAATTTAGAGTCGTTTACATGCCTATGGCTTGATCGAAGCGTTAATTCAACAGAAGATAATATCCAAACTCAGAAAGAACTTCGTGAAGTTATCAATTATCTTCGAACATTTGATGATCTTAATCAGTGTGAACAATATATTCGACAAATTACAAAAGAAAAGGTTGTTCTCATCGTATCAGGCTCATTGAGTAGAGAGATCGTACCTCGAATTCATGATCTTCCGCAGTTATCTGCATGCTATGTTTTTTGTCTAAATCTGGCACCAAACGAATATTGGGATAAAAAATATAGCAAGGTTATATAATTTAAGTCTATAATTGTTTTTGCACTAGAACATTTTAGGTCAATGGAGTATTTGCTAATCGTTCGAAACTTGTTGGCCAAATATCGAATGATCAACAAAGTAGAAGCAAAGTAGAAGACGGTGCTTCGATATCAGTAATCACTTCTGGTTCTGCATCTCTTCAAGCTCGTAATGCTGTATTTATGTGGTTTCAATTGTTTATCGAAGTTCTTCTTCGTATGCATCATAAATCCAATGATCGACAAGAACTTCTAGATCTTTGCAAAGCAAATTATAAGGGTAATCAGCGGGAATTGAAAATGGTTGAAGATTTTAAAACTAGTTATAAACCAGAAAATGCTATTTGGTGGTACACATTAGAATCATGCTTTTATAAAATGATAAATAAAGCGTTACGTGTACAAGATTTCGATACATTATTTGCTCTTCGATTCTTTATAACTGATCTTGCCAAACAGATTAAAACCGAGCATGAAAAATTCATTCGTACAAGTGAGAATCGAAATATAATTCGTGTTTATCGTGGACAAATGATTGGAACTGATGAACTTGAACTAATGAAGAAAAGTATTGGTGAATTTTTATCCATGAATTCTTTCTTTTCGACCAGTCGTAATCGATCAACAGCTGTTCGCTTTGCTCGAAGTTCTTCTACTGCCGATAACCTTCATCGAATTCTTTTCGAGATAGAAATTAATCCGCGTTTACAAACTAAAGCTTTTGCTGACATTGCTCACATTAGTTATCTTCAAAATGAAGATGAAGTATTGATTATGCTTGGTGCTTTATTTCGGATAGAAACGGTAGATGAAGATAAGAAGGAAGGAATGTGGGTGATTCGTGTGTCGTTAGCAAGTGAAGAAGATTTTAAATTGAAAGAAACATTTTCTTATATGAAACACACAATTGGTGACGATACAGATTTAGATTCTCTTGGGAAAATTCTATATCAAATGGGTGAATACGAGCAAGCACGAAAATGCTACAAGCGAATGTTGAATGAAACTAAACTGGCTACTGGAAACGCTGAATTAGGTTTAGGTAATATTTGTTCTGTATTTAAAGAGGCTGATGATGGTCTGAAGCATTTCGAAGAAGCTTTAAAAATCAGACAGCAAATTTTGGGCCAAGATCATGCTGACGTTGGAGAATGCTACAGTTACATTGGTGTGCTGAACTTTTATGCGAGTAAGAACTATGACACAGCCTTATCATATTTGAAGCAAGCAGTTCAAATACAAGAAGCAACACTTTCATCTGACTCTATTGAACTTGCCGAAACGTATGGTAGTATAGCAGTAACTTATAGCTATTTAAACAGCTTTGAGTTAGCTTTAGAGTATTATCAAAAATGTCGTGTAATTCGGGAGAAAATCTTACCCACCAATCACCCAAAACTTGCTGGATTGTATAATAACATAGGTACGATTTATGAGCGAAATAGAAATTATTCAAAAGCATTGGAATACTATGGAAAATCGATCGAAATTAGTCGCAAAATTTTGCCACCAGAACATTCGACAATTGCTCGCACCGAACAAAATATCCGCACTGTCAAAGATGCGATAAAAAACTAAACCAGTAATTAAAATGAAATAAATGCCTTCTAACATTCATGGACGCTGTTAGTTAATTTCGTACAAATACTGCATATTGCTTTTTTGCGGTTCTATTCAGAAAGAAGTACTATTTGAAATTGAAACAGGAATTGTACTACGTTGATCTTTTCCTATTTATTTGTTCTCAAGCTGTTATTTTCTGTACTTTGTGTGTGTTTCCTATCGACACTGAAATAAAAGCGTATCCTAAATAAATAGAATGCTTGGCTAATTTAGAAAATGATAACAATAGGCTTGCTGAATACATGATGATGCTATTCTTTCTAGAATATAAATATTTGGCCAGTGGCAAGGTTGAGTTACTTAAATAAAGTTCCGAAGATGAACGTATCAATATGCCCATCAAGAAACGATGAAACATCATAGGAAGTATATTTAATAATAAGAGATATCATCAATGATATTAGTTATGTTTCTTCGAGAACAATGAAAGAACGCAGTAGTGGTGCAGAAATATGTTTCACTTTGATTCAAGGAGTACTACAGTATAGCTACGAAGAGTAGCTGTCTAATTCGAATTCGAATATAAATGGAGAAAAGAAAAAGTTAAACTAAAACTAAATCTAGGAATAGATTTAGTTTTAGTTTAACTTTCCGATATATGCGACATATAAATACATATATACTCTTCATCCGCATCCACATTTGAGCACTTCTCCATGGTATCCATCACCCACAACCACATTTGAAGTATCCCGGATACCCGCCCCTGCACCCCTTCCGGGTACCCTTCACTCACACCCACACCCACAGCTACCCATTAGTCCCCCTCAACCCACGGCCACTCCATTTTAAACTAAATATAAAACTAAAACTAAATCTATTTCTATCACTTATTTTCGAATTGATACCATGCAGTTGGGTGTCCATTTATATTCTAATTCGAACTAGGCATCTCATGATTACTCAAGATTATCTCTTACGAGTGAAAATATTCTGCATAAACTCAGTTCAACTAGTTAAACCATCGCCCACTACTGAAATTACTTATGGCAATATATTTTGTTAAGGAAGAATCGAATCGTGGATTTACAGTTATTTACTCAGATGATTATGCAGCAATTTCATGTATGCTCAATGTTTTTATAAATATCAATACTTCTCACAATATAGATCAAATGAACGTGATACAGCACTCATGTTAAACACGCAAATATATTTATTTGATTATGATAATAGCTGACGTCATAATGATTATTTAGCCAAACAATTACACCCAATCGAACCTTATTACATTTTGCAGAGTAACATATGGAATTACCTCAGCTGATCAAAGAACAAAATGTTCCATGAATCTTGACCTTGTTTGTAATAATAGAGATTATTCAGCGTGTATTTTTAATTTTTAATACAGTTTAGCTGCTTTTCTTGTTGATCAAAGCACTAATGATTAATAGAGTTGATCAGAATGATTCAACCGATTGTCATTGAGCCGGATAATTCATATGTGGTATAGACATAAAATTCATTTGTCAGTCGTAGTAACACTAGCATGAAATTTGATTATGGTAAAATAAAAGATGATAAGGAATAAACATCAACATGAACGATTACTCCTGAGTAGTTTCAACTGCAATCGTTTTTGAGAATTTATGTGAACTCGAATCAATATCATACATCAAATAAAATTTATCGATCCCTTTGGATTACGATTAGTAGATTTGCTTGATTTTTTTAGAATTAATTAGTTTTATTATCATTAATTAATGTTTTCTTGTTTTTATACATTGAAACAGGATCAACGAAGAAATGTAAACAAAAAAGAGAAGAAACAAATTTAAATTGAACTCGCAAGAAACGAAGAAAAACAAATTGACTCTTAAATTATTCCACTGTATTGTTTATTTTATTGATTTTTGATTGCTTTCGATTTGATGAGAAAACTGATTTACGTTTATATGTGATCGATAATGATGATGAATCTTTTGTATGAGAAAGAATATTATCGTCCATCGATGCTGCATCTTCGCCGATTGCTATCGGTTGCGGTGATGTTTCAGGTATTAAATCAGTAGATTGTTGAACCAGACCTAATGAATTGAATAGTTGCTTTTCTTTACCAGACGGTGTTGTTGTTTGTGATTCATCAGATATGGTTGAATTGCTATTGGAGCATGACAAGGGAGATGAAGTTGATTTCTTATTGGTGGTAGCCGATGGTGAAGATGGTGAGGTTTGATGAGATTTTGAAGTAGGACTATCATCAAGGTCGTAAGGTCGAAAAAGTTTTAATTTTGGTTTTGAAATTTCTGATGGCTGCTAATAGAAAGAAGAATTTATTTTCATTCTAATCGTAAAATCGACACATTTACCTCGGACAATCTTTTCTGAATCTTTTCTTGTATTGGAATGCTAAAAGACAGATTGGATTCAACTAGTTTTTTTCCTTCACAGATAAACCAAGTATACTGTACCGTGGTGTCACATCAGTTTTGTTAATAGTTGGTAATAAAAATTGTGATGTTTGTGATATCTTTGTTTGTTGTGCAAGTAATTGTAAATATGCAGATGGATGAAGGAGACTAGATAAATGGGGTGCCATAAACCGATATGGATCAGTAACATCAGGACGCCTGTCAATAAAATAAAAGATAGTTTTTATCAGTCGAGCTTATTTATTTTGTTATGCACCTGCTCAATGGAGGTGTATTGATATTTGAATTATGAGGTGTACCATAAGTTCGAAGATAACGTCGTCGTATATCTTCTCTTCTTTCAGCCTAGAATCAAAAGATGTTCGTTGGTATTGCTGACACACATTCTTAGTAAGTACCTCGTGGACATATTGGGTACACAAACGTAATGTTTCTTCGGGCAACGTTGAATTATTTACATGGCATGGAATCATTCGATTAGAAAAATCTGTTGACAATTGAACAAGACTAGAAGTTCCACCATTACTTGCATCTACTAAAGAATAAATCAAATTTATTAATATGAATCGTCTGCCATATTGATTTACTACTTTTGTTTTTTTGTTCAACATGCTCCGCAAGTCGTTTAAGTGCATCCGCAAAACTATTTGTAGTTGCTGGTTTAATACCAGTAAACAATGGATTTGAGGATGCTGACCAATTAAATGACATCTGAAATGACTAGATTCTTATATTACTATGTGTGAGAATGATTCTGATATCAGCTGATTGCCTTTATAGACAATCAATTATAGATTATACAAGTGTCTTTTGTCGATGACTTTAGTTCGACTTACCTCACTAGTATACGTCTTTGTGAGATATACTGTTCTGCGTCAAGTTTAAATGTCGGACGTGGTATGTGTGTTAATGATCGTAAGAGGTGAATGGGAAAAGGGCATCACGACACTCAATTTCTGCTGGCTGACATAGAAATAACGTAGCAACAGGACAACGAACAAAACTATTTCACTAGTGTGTATATCTCTCTCTATCATAGTACCTATTTTTTTATGCCATAATATAATATCGAGAAAAAGACAGTATTAAAAAAAGTGCCGTTCGTGTTGCTGTTGTTCTTCTTCTTAGACATCTACCAAAGAGTTTAAAGTTTAAAACAAAACTTAAAATATTTAAACATTTTGTCTATAGACTTAAATACTTGTCTCATAAGTAATGGTTTGCATATAGATTCAGAAAGAACTATATAGTCTTGAAATTGAGTCATATGTAGAGACACGCGTCATCGCAATAAACCAAAAGAATAACATGCAAAGTGTGGCATTCTGTTGATTTTTGCCATCTTGTCGATATATGTGCTATCACCGATCACACATACTGACCGTGCAGTGTATCGATTAGACGGATAGAAGGCGACAGAGGCAGAAATTGAGAACAAGAAAGGGTAGAGAGAGAGAGAGAGAGAGAGAGAGAATATACAGTCAAAAGCTAGTTCTAGACGTTGAAGACGCAGAAAAAAACGAATCGAGAACCCTAAAATTGTTTCAAGACAATCTACGCATCACACCTGGCTTGGACAAAACAAGAAAGAGCTAAATATGATTGATCTCATGTCCGATGCCAGATGTTGATTACTCACATTGAAGCAGTAGTTATTCTATTGAACACACTCATATATATATATACACATAATTACGTTTTATGTTGAATGTGCGTGAAACGGAAATAAGCATCTTCTTGTTTAAGAAGCCTGTTCGAGTGTCTTTCTACACTTGACAAGAAAGCGCAAGCGCGTATTCACACTGCCGAAACGATTTTACGCATCATCAATATTTCACGCACACATACACATACAATAAAAAGAATGCAAGCTAAAGTGAACGCCTCTTTTTTCTAACTATATTTATGCGTTTTCTTCTTCTTCGTCTTTTTTCTCCTTCTTATTTCCGATCCAGTAACTTGCTCGTTCACTTGCTTTCATTTCTTGTCGCCAATCGATGACTATTAGAAAAGAGGCAGACACACAGACATAAGATCGAGATCGACAAGTTGATTAAATAAGAAGCAAGAAAGAAATTAGTCTGAGTGAATAAGTGGAAGAGAGAAAGAGAGAATATTGACATGTTACAAGTATTAACAATAAAAAGATAGAAAGAATAAATGAGAAGTATTAGACAGTAACATAAGCTCTCAAAGGCGTTGATCTCTTAAATATATTATTTGATTGGTAGAACGTACAGTAAAAATATTAAATGAATTATTGATTGAGAAAGAAAAAGAGACAGATGGGACATTGAGGATTATTGTAGAATAGAAATGATTGTTATGTTTCGTATAGAATGCTCAATATTAGCATAATGACAAATAGCAATGTTCAATACAAATTATACAATAAAATAATGATTGACTTGCTACAAGATGTATTTTTTTTCTTTGGATCTAATCTTCTCTTGTAATAATTTTTAACAATACAATCAAATTTTACGCTTGTAAACATATATTTTTCATCGTATTAACCAATTCATTTGCATTATGAATGTGAGTTTTAGAATTTATGAACATACTTTCGATATGTCAAACTTATTGTCACATCCCTACTGGGAAAACAAAACATAAATTTCATAGCAATTTAGAATCTTTTGTTTTAAACTGAGTGATCATAAATAAATTTACGTTATCTTTTTTTGAGTTTGAATCTAACATTGTATCATAATCTCATAGAAGAATATTCTTCTTACAATCACATACAATAGTGACAATTATGATCTTTCCAAAGATAAAGACAATAGCAGACAATGAAATTGATAAAAAAAAATATCTCGTACTATTCCAATAGTCGAAAATGAACTTGTTGTCTTCAAAAAAAAAATATGATTGATTTTACTGTATGTTGTTATTAGATGCGAGTTACTACAGCCTCCGCCAATATGATGATCAATCCATAGCAACGTATTTTACCTTTAAAATGTCTACAGAAAAAAAGAAAGCTGACTGAATAGAAGAACAATCAAATATTATTCTGTTTTTCTGTTTTCATTCGTAAGATCATCATGGTGGACCGAACACGAGTTCCAAATATGCTAGATACTTTTATGTATTATAACAACAATCCAACACCACCATTTCCTGGTAGATATTCATTAATTTGTTTTTTTGTTGTCGAAACAAGCTCTTGTATTATTACAAAATCATTATAGGATATGGAGCACCACCTACCTATTTGCCTAATCAAGCTCATCTTCAGCCATATGTTGCACAAGTTGGACTTGATCCTTGGTAATTTTAGCTAAAATCTTTCTACATTGATCGGATAACGAAGAGGATTGTATTATTTGTTTTTCTTTCTATAGGCCAGTTAATGTACCTGCTTATCCTCAACAATACGAAACACATTTTCCTTTAGGTTTGATATCTTGCTCTAATTTTTCTCATCATCTTCTTCTTCTCCTCTTATTTCTATGGCAATCTGTAGGAACCGATTATTGGTGCACGCCAGAATATCATCTGACTCGAACGAATATCAATGCTCCTGAACCAACATTAATTATACGTGAAAATCGAGCTAAACCCGGTGTTAAACTTGCTTTTACGGAAAAAGGAGCCGAAAGTGATCCACGAGCGTTTCGTGCTCGTTATGGTACATCAGCAGATGTTCCAACTCGACCATATTATGCCCAACCATGGCTTATTGATGAAATACGAAAAGTCAAACATTAAGACCTAATAGAAATGCATTAGTTTAAAACTCAATTTTATTTTATCTTTTCACTTAGAGAGTAAAACAGACGACATAAAATCACATGCAGAGAAAATAATAATAAAAATCATAAATAATGTCTAATATTCACCCTCTTCTTCGCCTTCTGCCGGCGCTGTATCAGCTCCGACTTCTTCGTAATCTTTTTCTAACATTGCCAAATCTTCCCGTGCTTCACTAAAACAAAACAAAAAGACAAGAAAAATAAATACTATAAAACAAAAGCAACTTGTTTTATTTTCAATCATACCTGAATTCACCTTCTTCCATACCTTCACCAACATAATGATGAACAAATGCTCGTTTTGCATAGAGTAAATCAAATTTATGATCAAGACGCGCCCATGCTTCTGCAAATATGTAACAAAAAGAAAAGAAAACAATTCTATCAGAAGAAACAAAAATATATATTTTCAAACGCCTACCAGCAATGGCTGTTGTATTTGCCATCATCTAAATCGACGAGAAAAATGTAAATAGTTATTATCATCGTAAAATGATTATCTTACACAAGCAGCACGTTGAACTTTTGCTAGATCACCACCAGGTACAACTGTTGGCGGTTGATAATTAATACCGATTTTAAAACCTACATTTTAAATTAGTTTAATTACATGCTGACTTCTTTAGAGTTCTTTCTCACCAGTCGGACACCAATCAACAAATTGAATATTTCGATTTGCTTTTAATGTTGAAATCGTAGCTATAGAATAAGCAATAAAAACTATCTCGATTAAAAGTAACAAGTAAAGAATTGTTTACCATTAATATCTTTTGGTACTACATCACCTCGATAGAGAATACAACAAGCCATATATTTGCCTAAATAGATAATTAAATTTTCAAACTTTCTCTTTTTCATATATATATATATATTCTGAGTTACCATGTCTTGGATCACATTTAACTAATTGATTTCCCGGTTCGAATAGAGCTGATGTGACTTCCGATGTTGTTAATTGTTCATGATAAGCTTTTTCAGCTGAAATAATTGGAGCATATGTTGTCAGAGGAAAATGAATACGTGGATATGGCACAAGATTCGTTTGAAATTCAGTAAGATCAACATTAATAGCACCATCGAAACGTAATGAAGCAGTTATCGATGAAATAACTTGTGCCTGAATAGAATTTTATTTTTTTTCTCTTCAACATTCTAGTCCTATTTACCATAATACGATTAACGTTTGTATAAGTTGGTTTTTCAAGATCAAGATTTCGTCGGCATACATCATAAACAGCTTCATTATCAATACAAAAGCAACAGTCTGAATTTTCAAATGTACTATGTGTAACTAGAACAAATAAAGCAACACATGTTCTTGAACTACAAAAATAAAATATTGTTAACTGAACTTACCAAGAATAGAATTGTACGGTTCGACAACTGCAGTTGCAATGCGTGGAGCTGGATAAACAGCAAATTCGAGTTTAGATTTTTTCCCATAGTCAACAGCCAATCGCTCAACAAGTAATGAAGTAAAACCTATTGAGTAACAAATTTAATCGAGTTTTTCTTCAAAAATAAACAAACCTGAACCAGTTCCACCACCAAAACTATGAAAAACAAAAAATCCCAATAGACCAGAACATTGATCGGCCAATTTTCGGATACGATCAAGTACTAAATCGATGATTTCTTTTCCCACGGTATAACGACCACGTGCATAATTATTTGCTGCATCTTCTTTACCCGAGATGAGTGTTTCAGGATGAAATAATTGGCGATAAGTACCCGTTCGTACTTCATCTATTCAAGGGGAAAAATAAGATCCTAATCGATTTACTAATTAAATGAGTCCTACCAATAACTGTTGGTTCAAGATCAACAAAAACTGTTCGAGGCACATCTAATGAAGTTAAACAATCTAATTTAACCTTTAAATTTTGAAATCATATCTCACATTTTCCTGCTCCTGTCTCAGCAAAAAATGTTTGAAATGAATCATCACCCGATCCAAGAGTACAATCAGTTGGCATTTGTCCATCAGGTTGTATTCCATGTTCGAGACAATATAATTCCCAACACGCATTTCCAATTTGTACACCACATTGACCAATATGAATAGAGAGACATTCACGCTAATTAAGTTGAGTAAAAAAGATTTTTATTTTCATTTTTTTTTTGAAATTCATGTCGCATATGTGTCTACTTACCATGATAAGATGAGATGAGTTTTTTTCAAAAAACAATAGACAGAACAAAAAATTCCGATGATGTTTGGTTTGATTAAATGACTGGTTTTGTCTAGATTTATTGTAAACTACTTAATGTGTTAGCGCGCCTTTTTCTCTGCGAATTTTTATATAAATGATTGATTAATGAGTTTCTCAAAACGATGTGAGTGGAGATCTCTTTCGTGCTTTCAATAGAGACTTTTTATTTATGTAAAATAAATAAATTAAACAGAAAATATTTCCTAGAAAATGTTTTTCTTATTTCCAAGCCAGACATATAAAGCATATTGACTATCCCATAGTGATGAAATTCTTGTTAACGTTGCTAAAAATTCAATAAAATCTTCACGATTTATTGTTAAGATTTGTGCATATTCAAAAGTTACACTTGTTAAATGTTCAAGATGTTCAAGAATATATTTAATATCATCGATATTTTTCACACGAATTTTCAAATGTTTGATATTAGGAGATATGATTGAACATATTGTTTTCATACGTTTCATACAATTATCTGCAGCCCAATAATCGAATAATAATAATGAACGAAGATTGAGGGTTTTTTCAAATAATAGACTTATATTTGTAACAGTGTTTGACATATTTTCAGGAGTAAAATTAACAGATAACGATAGTTTTGTCATACGCGCGAGATCACAAATCGTCGAAAGAAATTGTAATGAAGCTTGTGGCCATTCGCCGTTGTTTTCAATTGTAAGATTTGTAACATTACGAAATAAAACAGGATTAGATGATTCATTCTAAGAAAAAATAACATTTTATTCAATATGATTAGTAGTACAGCTAGCTATACAAAAATAAACATTTATCCAGATACTAGATAAAGCATTGTCTTGAAAAAAGGATTTCTATGTGATAGGCTATAAAAAAAATAATATCTTTCTGTATGAAACGCATGACAAATATCTTCAAAAATAAATACGTCTCTCTATGAAGTTAATTGTCAACATATTTTTGTACGTCTTAGTGCTACATCATAATCTGTTTCCCTTGGTTTTACACCAATCAAAAAACGAAATACCAATTTTTTTTATTTTAAACAAATTAGTCAACTTTCTAATTTAGGTCTTTTTTTGAGAATTTCTTTACAATTCATGTATTAAATTCTGATACAAGTGAACCAACAATATGCTACTTCACTGCTAATTTAGGTTTTACGGAAGTAACATATCTTCAAAAAGATGATGTGAATTTGTTTAAAATAATACATAAAGTCTACAGTCGATCGTATATAGAAATCATGCTTTTCAAAATTAGGTAGCATTAGAATAATTGTCTGCAAAAGAATTTGTTACTTTTTCTTTTGATATGAAATTTATATCTTTGGTTAATTGTATTTGTAATTTCTGTACATGATCCATATCTTGTTGATTGATTTGTCTTGTAAAATTTGATGAGGAAATCTTCTTAAAATCAACAAGGTACATAAAACGAGTTGTACATATGGGTAGAGTATATAATATAATTTTATGTGAATTAGTAATATAATCACAAGTTATAGCGCAATTCATACGATTGATCCAAAATGATGTTCGAAATGAGTTGACAAGAATTTCTATATTACGAGAACGATAATTACTAGGCGTTAGAATATGAAGGAAAAATTCAAACTTTTCCAAACAATTTAGTTTTGTTTGAATTAAGTTTTCCCATTGAAAACCATCGAATGATGAATTAAATAAGGATCCAGTACCACTTAATCGCAAGTAAGTTAATGAAGGTGTTAATGAAATACATTTTTCAAGTATTTTTACTTCTATAAAACCATCTTCGAATATCAGCGATGACAATTGTGAACATGATATATCATGGGAATAATTTTCATTATCGGATGCATCAATTTGTTTTAAAGTAAGAGTTCGTAAATTAGAAAACTGCCGAAGAATAAGACGAAATTGTTTTATTGTTATAGTGTTTACGAATCGAAGATATTTCAATGTACAATTGATAGGCCATTGTAGATTTCTCCAATCTTTAGCCCATATACTCAAATCAAGATTTTGAATACTATGATGTCCAATAGCCGATGATAGGAGAGATGAAGTTATTTTTTCACGATTATTTACAATCTGTGTACTAATCGCAACAGATTTTAATGACGAAGAAATAATATATTTTGAAAATATATTTAGATAAGTTTCGCTAATTTCAAGAAGAGTTAGTGATTGAAGTCTAGTAAATTGTTCAATATGAAATAATGCCAAAAATAATTGAATTTGACCGCGTGTTTTATCTTCGTCCGATAGCGTAAGTGAAATGACATTTTCCGATGGTATAATTTGACAGATGAGATGAAAATAAGGTTTAGCTATTGATTTAAAATTAAAATTATATCGATTATATGTATTTGTTGTTAAATAAAAGCGTTTGCAAACATAACGAAGTGATATAAGAATAGTTTGAGCGTCGAGATTATCAAATAGGCGGTAAAGAATTTCAACAGGTAATGTATCGAAAAATGGTGCAGACATATTCAATTGTATGAATGTCTATGTCGTGATTATTTCATCTATGAGAAGGAAGAAAAACACGTTGTATATATTGGGTCACTGAGGACGTAAAAAAAGAATAAATATTGCTTTTTTTTTGCAATGTTTTATTCATTTTACACAAATGCACAGTATGTACGGATTTGTTTCCTGTGTCAATCCATACAATAGTTGACTGAATGTTTCTAAACTACTTTATATTCTTATCTGAATCCGCCCGGTGGTCTCACAAAAATCATCGTTTCTTTGAAAGTATCTAAAAAATAAGCTCGTCAATTCTATACGAACTTGACAGAATGGAGAATCTTTAGAATTTTTGTATTGAACGATCAGAAAACGAAGTAACTCATTTTTTGATTCGTTTACAGTACAGAAACTAATCTCTGTGATATCCAACAGTACGTTTTACAAGCAACAATACCTGTAGAGCGAGAATAGAAGAGTAGTCAAAAATTTGGTTTCGTCGTCGATAATGATTCATCAGGTATTATTCTCACAAGAGCTAGTATATACCAGAATATAATAACGTTACTACGGGACATATGTTGCCGGTTAAACAATTGCTAAAATAATTGTCTCGGATCTTCTGACAGCGCTCAACATATAAAATCGATATATTGAAGTCACGTTGTGAATAACTTAACTAGGTAGACATTCGAATTTTCCGTTAGCTGATTTTTAATTTGATCGAAGAATTTCAGAGAAAGAGCAGATATATCTTCAAACTGAAAAATTCACCGTTCATATGTACGATATTCAATAAAAATCTCTTCAATCGAAACTCAGATTTATTCGTTAAGTAAAAAGACAACTTCCGATAAATTAAATTCATGATTTTCCTTGCGGTGTTCTAGATGTCAGACATACACTTGTCATATCAACAATCTTGACACCTTCTCTGTTAAATAATAAAGCTAATATATAGTAGAAGAAAAGAAGAAGATCCTATACTGATGACGAACGATAGAGAGAATGTTATATTAAGATTTCGGTCCAAGAAGATTGTCGATTCGAATAATCTTAAGACTTTGTTCATTCCACTGAAATCTACGTATTATCTAAAAATAAGAATTTTTTAATCGACACTAAGATTTCTAGATTAGTATATAAGCATTAGCATTTTATCATTTCTTGTCTTTTGTTGCAGAATGAACAACTTGTTTTTATCTTAGTGTCAATAATCGATATTTTCTCGCTGTTCTTTTTTGTTCATTTATGATAATTCTAGTCGATAAAAGCAAAGCTCGAAGTATTTCTCACATAAACTTTGCATCTTTTTATCAGTTCTCTCATGTTAACAAAAAAAATAAAAGAATGGGATAATCCATTGTTTTCAAATCGCCTGAGTATTGTTTATCGATATTTAAATAAGATGTATTGTATACATGTAAGTATAAAAAAGAAGCCAATAAGATAGAATACACGTCAAAAAGAAAAAGGAAACAACACAACAAATATCTAACAAATAAGCTGATGATTATTATTATACAAACGAAAAAAAAACAAGCAATATGATTTAGGTTATCTGACAGAAGCTTTTCTTTCATTCGATATTACTTGAAATAATAAAAAAAGCATTACGTAAAACACTCGATGGAAAACATGTTTCAAGTAAATCACGTGTTAAATATGGACATTGATTAACGAATTGTTCGAGCAGTATATATGTCGCTTCTTTATGTATAATATCATTCGATAAACCATTGGAATTATTCGATGTTGAGTTGTTACTTGTACTGGAATATTTATTATTTTGTCCGCTATCAACATCGATTAAACGCAATAAACTCGATGAGGCTAATGCAAGAAATTCTTTACAACGATCTTCAATATGTCGTTGACCATGTTCAAAAAAGAATGTTGTTATTAATGTATTTATTGCACGTATCAAACAATGGCAATTATTCGCGTGGGCATCTAATGCAACTATATATTTCGTTGATTCAAGTCTTGCTAAACGTGGCAATGCAACAGCTATATAAACCATAATTAAACATGAAAGTATATATTCGTCGGATTCATTGATGGATGGTGTTTGATCCGATGTAGTTGTGTTATTGTTATTCATAGAATTTTTCTGATTGATTAATGCTTGACATAATGTTGAATCGATTATTGTCGATGTACCTGTTGATGAAATCATTTCATTGATAAGTAAATGATGTTGAGGATCATTTGAAAATGTTGTTGTTTTATATTGAGAATAAAAATGTTCTAATGTTACCATTAGAAATGGCATACGTTTACATAGAACATCTTCAAGAGCGTCTTCGATAAGACTTTTTAATTGTAATAAAACGCCAATTAATATGACACGTTGCAGAAGTAAATCGACATGTTCAAGTTGTTTTAAATAAAGTTTCATTTGAGCTGGTTTATCGAAATTGATACGAAGATTATTTAATAGATCACGTTGACTATGAGTTAATTTTCGAATTTCATTTATTTGTTGTACACAACGATAAAGAATCATTTCACATAAATATTTACAACCGTCTTCAAAGGAAAAAAGCAATAAAATTATAGAAGAAATATTTTTAGTTAATCGCCATTGGATATATATATATATATTAAGAGCTTCTTTGGTAACTGCATTTCTTTTTTTCTCAACACACTTATAGTTATAACTTAACGCTACAGCGATAGTTAACCACAAATTTAACTATGAGTTCAAAATAAAAGTGATTCTCTTCTTGAATTGAAAGAATTTATCTGCGATTAAATAGCTTCTAATCCAACTAAACTTCCATTCAGAGCTCAGTCTTCATAGGTACGATTATGCATTTTTTAAAAGCTATCAAAGCTTGTATTTGTTTTTCACCTTATAAAAAAATTTCAGTCATTCAATCTACAATAGACTGGTTTGATTTTAATCTTATGAAACTTAATTATCAGTTGACTTCTATTTTTTCTTTTACTCCAGTTTCTAAGAAAATATCTTCACTATCAAACCGACATGAACCTTTCTGCTAATTGTTAATTGAAATATATAACTATAAATCTTACATGGCTTAATTAATTCCACCAATGCTCTTAATTCATTAAATGAAGCATATTCTTCAGGATCAAATGGTAATGTTAAATCTTGTTGATGAATACTAACAAATGATCGACGAATAGGCGAATAAACAATAGTACCCATGGTGATGCGTTTCACAAGTACTTCAAGAAACCAATGTGTATATAACGATGTTATTGTTTCATTTCCTGCACTATCTAATGGTTGACTTTGTTGTAATAGAACTTCATTAAATATTCTTGTCGTATCTATCTGGCAATGAGATTCAACTAATGTTAAAATATCCATATAGGATTCCACCGATGATAATAATTCTGATGGTTTAGCTATTTCCATAGCCGGTGGACGATAATTAACCATTTCGGATAGAGATTTATTAAAACGATTTTCTAAATGTGATATTAAATATTCATTTGGTAAAAATTTATGTTCCCATATTGTTATTTGTTTTCGATAGGATATAGAAAAACATAGTTCATTGAGTACCATCATTAATTTATCTGTTTTGGTCATATCACGACGATTTGATCGACGTGACTCATCACCTGGCAGTGGTATTTTAACCGGTGTACCGTTTTGGCCAGTGCTTGTATCATGTTTAGATGACGAGCTATGTTTCTTAGATAATTGTTCAGCTGGTGCCTTTTTCCGTAGACGAGATATAACTGCATTTTTCGGTAAAAGCTAAAATGAAAATAGAATTCTATTAGAAAACCATCATTCGGATAAACAGTTTGTTTGAATTCTGTACGAATACACACTGCAAGATCTTAAAAACTTGCACGCATCGAATTCCTCCCTGGTGATTATGTGTTTAAGTTCTAGAAGTTCGATCTCAATCTCTGCTTATATAGAGATACTAAACTTTATATTCTTTTTTTGCTAATGAAAACTAAACTATAATAAGCAATTCTCCGATAGATATGTAATCATAGGTAGACAACAATAAAAAAAAACGTATATAGATTTTCTGAACAGTATATTCTCATATCAACGCAATGCAGAAGATCAATAAGCAAAAGACTATCAATTGTAAATAAGAATAAATTTCTTTTCAAATCTTACCTGTTCATTCATAAGAAAATATTCATTAGCAATTTCAGAGACCGTACTTTTAATTTGTTTGCATATTTCATCAATAAACGCATGAGAACTTTTTAAACTTAAATCTCCAATTTGTTGTCGTTCTTCTGGGCATAATTCATGTGTTGCATTTATAAAATGTTGACATATCAATGGAAAAGCAATAGCATAACGTATTTGTGATGGATAATAAATACACGATGAAAATAAGTGATCAAATTGCGTCAAATAAAAATAAAATATTGATAAATCACTTGTTTCATACAATAACGTTTCAATATCATCGACGCATTTTGAATGAAAAGCAATTGAATTCATTGTTTGAGCAAAATTTTCATTATGTGAAAGTGAAATTGACGATAATGAAGATTTTTTCGTTACACTTGTATATGCTTGCATACGGAACCAATCAAGACGTAATGCACGTAGATCTGCACTTGTTGATGTTGCTAATGTTGTTATTGTATTATAGAACGATGTTAACAGTATTGATTCATCTTCGGTACACGACATATTCAAATTTTTTATATTTGATTGTAAATCATTTGAATCTAATGTTGATAAACATTCAATGTAATATTGTTTTATTACAGATGAATAGCTTGTAATTAAATGACGAAGTTCCTCTGAAATAAACGTCAACAATTAAAATAAAAGATGACAACAACAACAACCACGACCACAAAAAGAACGAACTTACCGATGTAAAATAAAAATTCTGGAAATGTTCGATCACTATAATCGTCGCGTGTAGTACCAGCTGCCTTTTTATTTGTTTCTTTTTGAAGTTTAACCGGAAAATTTTCACCATGTCGTAGTAACCAAACGATTTCATCACGTGCTAAACTTAGTGCTGTAAAAGCTGTTAATAGTTTTGGACCTAAAATATGAATATTAGTATATTTTCATAAAAATAAATAGATATTCGCCTTGAATTATTTTTTCACAGTAAGTTTGGCATGGGTAGAGACTAATAGTTATCTCACCGAGGCCTTAATATGTAAAAAGAAAAAGAAGAAGCTATTAATACATTTGTCAAGATTCACTTTGAGACAGATAAATCCAGCACAGTTGTACAATTGTTCGTTATGGAAGTAGAAAACCTAATCACACACTCCTTATCTCTCTCGGTTGTTAAGACATAAATAGCTAAAGAGAAACTTCGTTTATCTTCAAGAATCACGAAAATGAACTAGTTTGGGTCTTACAAGTAACAGTTGTTACTAAATTCTATTTCTAATGCTAACGAAATTTTACACTTATTATCGATTCAAGATCTCTGACTACTTTTGTGCGTATAATTAATTTCCATGGAAAAAAAACGTTTTCTTTCTTACCTAGTAATGCTGGTTGATCAGCAAAGACCAACGCCAATTCTTTTAATTGTGGTCGAATATATTTTCGTCGTTCACGTCTATATAATGGTTGTTCTGTAATAGCTTTTTTAAATGTATCATTTAATAATTCAGTTAATTTCAATTGTCTATATGATTTATAAATATCTAAATTTTGATGTAAATATTGATGCGTTAATAATAATTCATCGCGATAAAGCACATGAACAAAGCTGCTCGATAGAGCTTTCTCAAATAATTGCATACATTTCGAATTCATTATAAGCTGCTGTGGACATACAATCATTGTATAGATAATCCAACGTTCAACAGTTTCTTGTGATAAATATTCACATGGTAAAATTTCTGATGTATCCATTAGATGAGCTGTTTGAGATGTAGCAAGTAGACTCAGTAAATTTTTTGCGCGCCAATCAGAAACTTTACATGTACGTCGATCATAAACAGGCGATAACGATTGTATAGCATCACCTATTGAACGTACATGAGGAACAAATTCATCGTGTAATTTACGTAAGGGTTGCTCATAATCAATTATCATCTGACCAAGCCGTGGAAAACTTGCATCGCCATGACCATGTATTAAATCTGTAGCTATGTTATATAAACCAAGAACTATTTTCCGATCATCAACACGCGATAAAAGGATCATAAGTGATATATAGGTTGAGATTAAATCTAAATATGCTTTTGTCAGATCATAATTAAGTGCCTAAATTAATTGGAAAGAAAGTCATTTTCTTTTATGAAACCGCAATTATCTACATACAATATCAAAATGAACTTGGCAAGCATCAATAGTGGTTAATAAATCAGTAACATGATCCTAGACGATCAAATTTGATAAGAATAAAATTTGATAAAATAAATAAATGAAAACTTACCCGAAATTCTAAAAGATCAACAAACGTAAAATAATATATTGCAAGTGATTTGATTATATCTGTTTTAATAGATGTAAGTGCTTGAAATTGACTCTAGTAGAATACAAGAATATGAGAATTTTTGTTTTATTTCAATATAGATTACACATACTTTATCAACAGCTGGGAATTTCTTTTGTATTTGGCGAAGTACCGATTCGAGATTTTTATCCAACAAAAAAGATGGTTTTGATTTTGTTTCTGCACATGCCTAAAATGAAAAAATTTCTTGTGCATATCATTGAAGCATCTCGAATTACAGGGCTGATTAACTTCCTTTTTTTTGGAAAGCGTTTTTGATGTCTTTACACTGCTCTAATGTATCGCTACTAAATTCGATTAGCAACGAACACAAAGACCCCCTTCATTAAAGCTTTTGGAGGTTTTCTTTTTTGAATTCTAGAGGTCTTCATGCGTGTAACAATTTCTCATCACTGAACTCTATTCTCACAAAAGAAAAACGTAACTAGTTAATTGAACTTCAATATACCGATAAGCATATTACGGTTTATACGATTTCTAGCCTGTTTCATATTACTGCTCCTTCAATGGATAAATTGCCTAAAATAAGTACGTTTTCAAAAGAATACTTTTGTATATTTTACTCTTTCTAATAGTAGAACAATCAAGTCTCTACGAGCAACTGCTGCTATCCTATACTCGAATCAAAGAAAACGGTAAAATAAATAATTTACTTTTTTAATATTAAATATTCTTGTTAACATTCCAATGCCTCGATCATTGAGAACTGTTAATTTTTCTGCTAATTTTTGTTGATGAGGATTTATTTGATGAGCCATTCTGTTAGTATCTAAAATGAATTTTGCAAAAAAGAAAAATAAATAAAATAGATGTTTTAAATCATTCGAATTGCTAATAACACAAAAGAAAGGAAAAATTGATTTGAAAGACAATCAAATATTGTTTTGTTTTTATCACAAAGGTAAAAGTGATACATCAACTAAAGATTTCATCAGATTTGTTCCATTAATAAAATGCGTTGTTGCAATAACAAAATCATGATTTTGATCAGCTAAAAACCTTAATGCTGCAATTTCTCCATATGTTATACCGCCAATAAAAACAACTAAGGTCACTTTTGATTCACTACTTTGTTGTTGTTGTTGTTGTTGTTGCTGCTGCTGTTGCTGTTGGCCTTGTGGTTTAGTTGTTTTATTCAATGAACTAAGTGATGCTGTTGAACCCTGTCGATGACGTTTTAATTCCATTGGTACTTGTTGTGTATCAATAAGTGATACACCAGGTAAAATATTCATTGTATCTTGAATATTATTTGTTGCTTGAAAAACAATTTTTTCAATTAAACGTATAATTAATGGAGCATATTGATAATAAATATAGTGAATATCTTGTGGATCAGTAACACTCACGGTTTGATCATCTTGTAAAAGATTAAATTCACGTTTTAAACGATCAAAATATGTTTCAGTGGTTTTAAGCGATGATGCAGTTTTAATCGTATCCGGTACTGATAGTATTCCAACTTGTTCAAGTGCATGAATTAAAACAAGATATTGTAAACCAAATGTTTGAATAATATCTCTTTTTATCAAATCGTAATCTTTACGTTTCAATTGTGTACCTAATGTTTGTGTTATGATAGATAAATACCGTAATATACAAAATATATCATCCTTCCAAGCTATACGCTCATCGATTTGACGTAAAGCGTCTTGTAATATAGGAGAAAATAACATTGCTAATTGATTAGCTAAATACATATCATAGGTTGCCGTTAATTCTTGTTTTATACAATATGCTAATTCAAGATGTGTTGATAATGTTTGAGTTTTAGCATTTTGATTTGACATTCGAGTTACAAATTCACGTAGTTCAGCTAGTTTTCTACCTTGAATATTTGATGATGAACCAGAAAAATTAGTATCGAAATCAGTACGTAATTGTCGTTGAGCACGAGCACCTTCTTGTAGAGTTTTACCAACGGTTATCATATGTAAATAACGTGTATCAGAATATAATTTATCGGTTGTTAATAGACGAACAGCAACTTTATCTTGTGTAGCTACATCAAGTTTTTGAGCTTCACGAAAATCAGGACTAAACGATGCTGTTGGAACTTCAATACGATTGAATTGAATACCTGAAACAACATAATTTCAAAATACTATTCTATATGTTGATTTGTGGGGAAATTTTCTTGAGGAATTTTTGCTTCTGATTTGAACATGGAATCTATCGGTTTATTTGAAAGACGCCGAAATTAATTGTGAAAAATATAGCGGTTCGAAAATAATAAGTTAAAATAAATTCATACAATCCCAATCGAATATGAATGGTTGACTACAACACATATATTAAAAGTATTACTCTAGCACTCTTCATTAGTTGTTAGGTATTGCAGCAGAAGTTTTACATAGCAAAAGAAAAAAAAATGTTCACCATTTCTCCTATAATCTTACCGAAAACTTCATCAAGTAAAGCTTCGTACGTTCCCGGTATCATCATAGGTGTGATTAAATCAGTAGATCGATCAATTAAAATAAGATTTTCAATTTGTGTTGGTACTTTTTTTTCATTATCAGGAACTTCACGTTGCATTCTCATCATACTATCATAGCATTGTTTTGCTTTATCACCTTTAACAAATACATTTGGAATGATGCCGTACAATTGTTGTAATGTAATAAGACCATGTGCTAGATTAAATATTGGTGTAGTATCTTTATTTAAATATAAATCTCGAAAACAATCATACGATTCCATGGATAATAAATCTGTATCCATAGGCAAAAAATCTAAATTAAGTTCATCAATGATAATATCACCCAGTACACCTCTTTCTTTTAATTTTTCTTCACAAACACGTGATTGCCGTGGAACAAATATAATACCGTATTGTTTTGAAACTATTTCTTTTGTTTTTAATTGTTTTAATTTATTCATTTCATCTTTAATCATATTGGCAATGATTTCCATATAGATAGGCTTTGGTCGAACAATAAATAGTGTTATCTTATAATCTGATGTATCATGTTGACGTTCTTTAAATATTCGAATATCACTTGCGCCAAGTTCATTTAATGCTTGAATATGGCCAAGAAGATTTTTAAGATCATCATCGATAACCACACATTTTTCTTTAGTGAATTGTTTTGGTAGATTACTTTTTTCCGTAAAAAATTGATTTGTACAACGTTTGATTTGTTGAAGAATTGAATCACGTAAAATAGTTAAATTGATTCGGCCAGTTTTTAAATGACTAAAATCTTGTTTTAATGATACACTAGCTGTTTTCGTTGACATGTTTCTTTATTCGATTGCTAAAAAAACAAATAACTGGATAGACGAAGTTCAATAATGAAACAAAACAAGCAAAAAAAAGAAGTAAACAATGAGAGATCATTAGCGCTATGAGTTGGTGTGATTAATAACATTGATTGTAGTGGTTTATATTTTAACCAATAGAAATGCATGAAAAAGATAAAAGCTTCATAATAAGTTGCCGCGCCGAGATCGTGATTCACTAGGAAAACAAGAACTCAAATAAAATGAGAGTACGTACTTAATCGTGTGTGCGTTTCGTCTTTTGATGGAGCATCGAAAATAAGAATCATATGATCTATTATTCACTAGTACTGTGAGTACAAATCAAATATTATTTGATCCAACATTTGCATTGAATTCCGACGTACGTAAATATATAATTTTAGATTGCTATATATTTATACAGAACTTGCTACTGTAAAACAATGATAGGCAACACATCGAGTATTACTGAAGAGGATGAATCCTATAATAATGATGAGTATAATTATGATCGGGTACAATTTGTTGTTGATCAACGACCAAATATCAGTCTCTCTAAAAATCAAAATGAACCAATACCACCAATAACATCAACATCAACGTGAGGAGTGCTTCGAGCTTTATTTGTTGTCAAATATTACACTTAAACGACAAATATTTGTCGTTTTTTTCTTTTGACATGTTTAGAACTGATTCAAATTCATGGAGCATATTAAATGTTATAAAAAATTTTCTCTCCATTTCGCCATACTTACTTGCTAAAGCAGAAGAACAACTATATCAAAGTATTTTAATCATTAATATTGTTCTCTTTTGTTTACGGATAGACATTTTTAGACTTAAAGAGACAATATTATGGCGAATACATACATATCCGGTAAGTTGTCAGACGTAAAATATTTTCTTTCTGTTAAATATTTTTCTTAGTGGCGGTAATCTAATTTGGACAGTTAAAAGTTTAAATCCATCAAAAACCACTATTCCCATTGTACTTATGCATGATTTTGGTTGTGCTAGTGGTATATGGATACTAAATATAGATTTTTTAAGTGCACGTCATCCTTTATACATGTTTGATATACTTGGTTTTGGTAGGTCATCGCGACCAAATTTCGATCAGACAAATTCAATAAATGCTGAAACAAAATTTGTCGAAACAATTGAAGATTGGCGTATAGCTGTTGGTTTACAAACAAAATTCTATTTAGTTGGACATGGTTTTGGTGCTTATTTAGCTACTGTATATGCGCTGAAATATGGCGAATTTATTAAAAAGTTAATTCTTCTTGATCCATGGGGATTCAATCAAAAACCTGATGAAAATCAATTACATTTAAGTATACCATTTTGGATAAACATGCTTGCGCGTCTTATGCAAAAATTAACATCATTTTCTGCATTCCGTTATCTTGGACCTTTAGGTGAATATATTTTTTTATTTAGTAAAAATATTACTAAGAGTTCTGTCAACTCTGCATTACTGATGTTTCTGGGAATCTCTACTGCGTTTGTCATAGATTAGTTCTTTTAAAGCCTTCGCTTTCATGAGTGCTTCTTTCTAAATGGAATGCATTAGAAGACAGGCAAGACAGATTCTATTTATAAGTAAAGAATAGTATTACAAGCTGCATACAACGCATTGAGCTCCTTGCTTAGTTAATCGTGCATAGAAACAACAAGGCTTCCAATTATAAAGAATTCTCGATATTCTTGTTTAACCTTAAAATGAAGATGAATGCTAATAAGACGAGACACATCGAATCAAAGTAAAGCTTTCGTTATTCAGCTGGTAAATCTAATTTTCATCCGATTACGGGTAGCGTGTATGGGCGTATATATTGAAAGTTTAAGATGTTGTCTCATTTATTAGAGTTTCTTGGAATTTATAATGTTGATAGATTTTTTTCTCTCGATTCTGTTGATTAAAACATACCATTCCAATGTAACCAAATCGAGTCATTACAGGTGGAAAATATTTTATCGAGCTTTTGAATTGTGAGCATTTTGTAAACATAGATTTAAGAGCTGCTTAAAATTTTTAATTTTATCTTCATAGCTTAATAGAAAAAAGTTTTCGTTTGACTTACAAATATTTGATTTAATTAACTAACAAGAATAGGAAGTTCATTATGAATAAAAATGAAAGTTAATGCTCGAACAAAACTTTCTTATTGATTATTTAGGTTTGCCATTGTTAAAAATATTTGCACCACGTTGGAAACGTTTGTCACCAGCCGAGCAGTCAGCTAAAAAGTCGAACGCACTTTATAAATATTTATATTATGTTAATACTCAACCAGCAAGGTACCCTATTATAACCTAACAAATCATAATAAAATATTCTGTTTTTTGTTTTTGTTTTTGAAAACGAAAATAGTGGCGATTTAGGTTTTCAAGCAATTGCATCATGGTATGGTTGGGCAAAAGATCCTATAGTTCAATCGGATCATACACGCATAGAAAGTATATCAGATGACATTCCGCTTGTATTTATTTATGGTTCACGTACGAATATTGATAATACAGCTGCACACCAAATTCTTCTTCAACGTGGCTCAACTAATACTTCTATTAAAGTAAGCAAAAACAAAAGTCAATCGAAGTCAATGCGATACTTCTGTCTATTGTAGACTATTCATAGTGCTGCACATTTCTTTTTTATGGAAAGGCCAATTCAATTTCATGAAGTAATGAGTGACCTATTAAGTGATTTACCGCAAAATGTTCCTACATTAGCATCGGCTGATAGCACTATAACTACAGCAATACTTTCACAGTAAGAAATATGCAATAGATTCCAAATGAACATTTTAGTCAGATGTATGTTAAAAAAAGTATCATTGGTTCCTACAAATCAAGTGTTATAGTCTTTCAATTCGTAATTATTGTTTCATCTACATTGCAGTTGCAATATCGTCTATAATATACTTCGATGTATTTAGATTTTGTGATTTTTTGTTTTATTTGGATTTTAATATTTTTGAAAACAAGTGATATGTTTTTTTCTTCTTGTCTTCTTAGAGTGAATAAAAAAAATAAAACAAGTGATATTTTAGATAATAACGAGAAAAGGATGGCGACGACGAATGAACTTTTATTGTCTCCGGATGAACAATTGACATCACCTTCGAATGCAATCGATGAAATGATTTCAATGGCACTTATTCATGAAAATTTAAATAATCAAAACTCTCCTATAGAACAATTACCAACAGAATCTACTAAGAAAAAAATTTCGTCGACTAGGTTCGTATATCTAACGAAAGAAATCGACATTGTTGTATTTTGGGTATTTAGTAATTAGACCGAATTATTTCTTATCAAACATTTTAGAATTTCATTCTCGTTTGCATCACATAACTATTCTTAGGTACGTTTCTCAAGAGAAAAGAGCTTTGGTAGATATATCTTTTTATAAACACATGCGACCTGATGAAGATTGTTCGTGTCAAATTAATACTGCATGAGAAGACATCGAAAGATAAATAATGATTTCTATACACGAATAAATATCAAATTAAGAATTATTGCACTGTAGCGATCACAGAAAGTCACATATTCATGGAATGACTTGTGCGAATGTAACAAAACTGATGATTGACTTCAATAAGTATTAATAGTAATCTTTCTGACAACTTAATTTAATTCTTGAATGAAAACCTGCATGTATTAGAATAATCGTAAGTTTTTCTTACCTTGATGTATTTCTTGCTCATTAGATATTCTTACAAGATAAATTTAAAGGAATTTTCTTTTTGAATCGACTCCAAATAATGTCTAGTTGTGCTATGTTTCAAGAAAGACTATTTGTACTTCTAAATTTTTGCTGATTAGATTGTGCATGTGCATGTGCATGTGCATGAAGGGTAATATCCGTGCACTCGGTTACATCCTGTGTTACTATTGTTTCGTGACGATTTGTTCAAGAACACCCTAAATAACCTCGGGGATTTACCCAATCGGAAAAGTTCCGTTTACTATAATATGTCAATCTAATGAAAAACTTTTACAGGATCATTTATGACAAAGTGAATTTTTACAATTAAAATAAAACAAAATTTAGCTTCATGATTATAATACTAGACCGATAAGCTCTGCTTTAACTTCTAATTACATTCGAAACATGATACTAAAAAATGATAAATCGTTGAAAATTTAATATAACAGCTCTTTTCCTTACATTCAAAAACAATTCATTGAGCCTATCATTTTAGCCGTTTTCGTACAATTGAAACATTAAAACGACTTTCATGGAAAAATAGTGGTCCCGAACAATTAGCACGTGCTGAAATGAAAATATTTGAAACATTAAAATCACAATTTCAAGGTCGTTATATTCCTGTTTTAAATAATACACAAAAAATTTGGTCGATTTGTGCAAATTTAACATCGACCAATATTCCTGTTGTACTTATTCATGGATTTGGTGGTGGCGTCGGTTTATGGAGTTTAAATCTCGATCAATTATGTCTTGATCGACCGGTTTACGCTTTTGATCTACCCGGTTTTGCACACAGTAGTCGACCAGTATTTAGTCGTGATCCAATTGAAGCCGAAAGCCAATTTGTTGAGATGATCGAAGAATGGAGAATAAATATGGGATTAAATGGACCATTTATAATACTTGGCCATAGTTTTGGTGGCTTTCTAACTGCTGCCTATGCTATTCGCTATCCGAAATATATCGTGCAAATTGTTTTAGTTGATCCATGGGGTTTCGGTCATAAGCCAGACAATTGGCAAACATCACCCATGCAACGTATACCACCATGGTTACGATCTTTTTCATCAGTCATGATGAAATTTTCTCCACTTGCTGGACTTCGCGTTGCCGGACCGTTTGGTAAGAGGCAAAAAAAGAAGCGAATGAATTTCTCGCTTTCTTTTTTGTTGATAATTACATTTTGTATTTGATTAGGTGTTCACATAATGAAATATCTTCGACAGGATTTACGTGTTAAATTTCAAAAGTTATTTGATGATGATAGAGTATTAGAATATTTATATCATTGCAATGCTCAAGTGCCGACTGGTGAAGAGGGTTTTCGAACAATAAGTGATCTTCTTGCTTGGTCAAAAAGTGAATATTTTCGTGCAATTGTTTTACTTTTAGATAAATATTATTTTTCAATATTTTCAGATCCTATGATTGATAGAATACATTTAATTGATGAACGAATTCCAATACATTTTCTTCACGGTGAACAATCATGGATTGAAATTGATTCATCTTGGATAGCTCAAGGAAAACGTGATAATGTATTTATAGATACGATGAAAGATGCGGGTCATCATGTAAATTACAAAGAAAAAAACATTTCTCTACTATTTTATTCTTGTTGTCTGTATTTTTAAGGTCTATGCTGATGCACCCGACGAATTTGATATATTTTTAAAGAAAACTCTAATGAACAAAGAATGACACACCCACATTACCATACTCAAACAACAGATAAATGTATAATTATTATGTATAGTCTTGGTGCTTATAAAATAAACTGTGATCGCTGAGAACAATTACCAAAAACAAATTTCTTTTTATAAAAATGTGTCGCATTTATATTTATGGAAAGATCCCACGATGACGATAAAAAATTCAATGATTGAATAATTCTTTGTTTCTATTGGGCTTATCAAAAACGAAAATAGTTTCATTTCCATATTGTTTGTAATTGTAAAAATAGAACATGAGTGTTGTAAGATTTAATTCGATTTATATTTAATGAATAAAATAAATGATGAACAGTTTAAATGCATTGTGACTGTGTGAAATATGTTGATCTAATGAAATTCGTAGGCTAGACGCAGTAAGGCCGTTGTGGTAGAATTAATGATCATATCAAACTCAAATAAATCAAATAAAAGGTTAACCATGCATTTTTCTTGTATATAAATATCAAATGTACTTTTCTTCGATGCTCTATATGATTATCTAGGTTGAATAGTGTCAATATACGCAATTATTATTATGCATATTTGTTAGTCAAAATGAAAAATAAATACCAATCGATAACTCGTACGAACTATTTATTTTGCGGTGCGCAGGAAAAGTCATGACTTCAATTGCATAAGTAGGCTTCGTTATCTGTTGAATAGATAAATCATGTTCAACAGAAATTCTATCATATATACAGGAAACAATGATTTTTTTTGCTATTTTTATAGTAATTAGTGTTGACACAGTGCCTATTGACTTATGAACTCAGTTACATTTGATTCTTTCAGAGCAAGGTCATGTGAAATCTCCTTAATACTTTGAATGTTGTTGGATTAGATTTTATTTCTTTTGGATAGAAAAAAAATCAGTGATAATCAATAAAGTATAAAGATCGAATTTGAAGACATAGAAAGCTGAAGTAAATAAAATTCTTATATGAAATCAGTATAGAAGACGTGGAACGAGTATTTGCGTCAATGGTCAATGGTGGACGTTTGGAAAATCGAATAGCGTTAAAAACTGATTTTTGATTTAATGATTTCAAATAAACATTTTGACGTCCCGGATTCAGTAGAAAATCTCCGACGGATATCCAACGTGAGAAACTATTTTGTTGATCATAGATGTATCCATCGTCTCCATCTGTAACATTATATGCATCTGTTACAGCAACATTCAATCGAGCGTTCACACTCATTGATGAATCAAAAAATGACGGATTCCATACTGATACCGTATAAACGCCACGTTCAGATAAAGTCGGATGAATAATACACGAGCCATTGAATTCGATTAACGATTGTCCGATGTTATCTTTTGGAAGTGATGATGTATATTTGATTGAATAATTTGAACAAGTATAAATATCTGGATTATCCGTCGTAAATATTATGGTTGATGGAGAATTCAGTGAAAATTTAGCAAGAACCATTTCAGCAAAACGACCAAGAATATAATAATCACTTGCACCTCTTTGATAGCCATTGCTAAACGCAGAAAGAATGATTTCTTTTCCATTCGGTAATATCATATAAGCTATTTCTTCAATTGTATCATAGGCATTTCCAGATTTTGAATAAATTATGGTACCAGCTGGTAAGCCGTTACCAAACGTTGTATGATCACTTTCTAATGTACGATAAAGCATAGGTTTCATATATTGTAGTTCATTTTGAGGACGTGCTTGCATTAGATAGAGCATAAAAGATGCTGTACAACATGATTGTAAAAGATTACGGGAATAAGGAGTTCGAAGTAGCACAGATTCGCTACCGATTGGTGATTGACCTGAATTTGTCGGATATGTTTTACTGCGAATTATTTGATTTTCATAGACATTAAGTTCTTTTAATAAACGTTCAATTGATAAACGTTCAGAGAGCCAATTAGACCAACGAGTATCATTCGTTGAAGTTAAATCCTCAATATTTGTCGTATTTGTTATGGCATCAACAACATAGCCTGTATCTAAATTTGATGAAACTACGACCATAGGTCGAACATATCTATCGAGACAATCAATTGATTGACCTTGTTTTTTACACCAATCTATTGCTGCATACATATACATTAATTTGACTGTTGATGCTGGATACTCTATTAAGGTACCATTTACACTGCCCCTTTTCCATGTTTGTGTATTCTCTTCTCTGATAAGTATTGTTGCAGATAGTCGAGTGAATTTACTTGAGACTTGTTTTGCAAGAAAATCGTCACGAACTTCTTTAATACCCAAAGCTAACGTTTCATCGTTAATAATCTCTACAGATGGTATTTGATTACAGCCACATTCTTCACTAATCACATTAGTAATCAAAAGACAAAAAGTAACTATACAATAGCAACTAAACTTCATCTTTCATGTGACAAGAACACTTATGCAGCTGATAAGCGTCAAACAGAGCAACTATCAAAATAAAAACGAAAGACAAAACTTTTGATATCATGACTATAAACTACTCCTCACGTATATGATACCGTTTGAAATTGAATGACATTTATCTTTTATAAAAAATAAAAATAAATCTTTATGTCTATATACTCAATTGATGGATCTTTATTTATCAAGAAAATGAAGTCTATTAATGTTCTAATTAGGGCACACCTACACTAATGCTGAGCGTAGGAAAATGAATAGGAAATACGGGTAATACAAAAGAAGGAAACAACAAAGCAAACTTTTCTGAAATTATGTTGGTTATTTTATTACTATGTAAATCATTGTAAAAATAATAGGGCGAAGCAAATAAAAAATTTTGTGCTTGTAATAATTTTGTTTTGCTATGTCATGAAAGATAAAAACTCAAAATTAATGTAATTTTATTTTTGTTTGGCGTTGATCTTAGCCTAGGAAGCTCTTGTTTAGTTTATTTGGAGGTTTTACACAATAATTATGGGCTTAAGCCGGTAAAGGTTAATTAACAAATTTATTTGATCTTTTTTTTTTACTCTAAATAAATATTTAAGTTACTCTAAAAATAATTACATATACACCGAGACAAGATATAATAATCTAATAGTTCGAACATGACGTTGTGTCATATACTAGAGAGAAAAAAAGAAATCATGAGAGTGTAGTATTCTTTTTTAAATTGTTATTCATTTTTAAATTTGAACAAATAGAAAAAATGCGTGATTATGCTAGCGGTAGTTTTACTGGACTGTGTATCTCTCGATATTATACACATGAGAGAAGAGAGAAGTTGAGTAATTAGAATTATTAAAAAGAATATATATATATATATATAAGACATTGTCGATTCTGATCATAATTCCTTTTTATTCGTTTGCTTATCTCAAGAATAGAGAGTATATTTCAAAATAAATACACATGGAATTTTTTAATGCAGCCAATATTAGTAGATGTAGTAAGAGAAAACGATGAATGAGGAGAATTATAGCACACGGTTATGTCTTTTTTCACTTCGAACAGTAGAGATTTAAGGTTTCTGTTAGTATGTGAGAGTGTGAATTAATCAAGATTTAAATGTAATTTTTTCCTTTGAACATATTTGGAATAGAATTAAATATTTATTCTTATCATTTTAGTTATAAATCATGTCTAGATTTTCTTGTGTATCTGTCCTTATTATCATATGCGTTATTGTTTTTCAACTATCTATGAACGAATGTCGCCCTCTGCATAAAAAAATTGTTATTGATGGCCATGAATGGACGGTGCCCAATGAACCTGGTTGGGAAGAAAGTAAGGGTTTATTTGTACTTTTTTTTAAAACTAAATTGTTCTTGTTTTCCAATGAATAGTTTTACAAGTAGTTGAACCAATGCGTCATCAATTGTTAGCGAATTGTGCTACAAGTCGTGAATGTCGGTTAGCTGCTGAACAACTACGTAAAATATTTTTGCAATATCCTGTTTCGTCGAAATATTACGATGATTCCACGCAGACTGATAACGCTAAACATAATCCCAATTTAATTTTTAAATGGGGATAATGTGTTTTTATGATTCATATTGATTGACATACTTATTAAAGCAAAAAAAATGAAATAGGATGAATTTCTAACTTGATTTATTTCTATAATTCCAAATCAAATAATTTTAAAACAGTAGTAGCGTTTTTTTTCTCGTTTGAATAATGTATTTCTATGTAAATTGAAGTAAATTATCCATCTTGATTTTTTTGATTTATGTATTCAACAAGAAATTATAGGAAAAAGTTTTAATATTTTGATCAGGGATGGACAGCTCCGACTCAGTTCCAGTCACTAATGACGCGCTCCGCTCCGACTCCGTCCCAGGGTAGAAAAGTTCCCTCCGATTCCGCTCTGACTCCGCTCCAGCTCCGCTTTACTGAAAAAGCGTCTTTCCTATTTTTCTTGAAGTTAGATGATATTCAATGAATTTCACGTTCCTCTTCAGCATACACACACACACACACACATATATATGTTGTGGTCAAAATTCAAATCTAGTCAAATTTTAAATTTGCCCGGTAAAATTCAAATTAAAAGTTTGCCCAATATAATCTCCGTCAAAATTCTAATTTCAATTTTCAGGGTGTGGGTGTGGCTGTAGGCGTGGGTGTTGGATGCGGTTGGACACAGGATCAACACCCACACCCTAGTGCGGGTGCGAGTGTTGATGGAGAGATTCACACCCAAACCTACACCACACACGCGCACCCGCACACCCTCAATATTAGAATTCTTTTAGTAAAACTCGAAATTAGAATTTTGACGAGGATTAGACAAATATTTAATCGGTGACATAAATGCTCGTTTGAAGCGGAAAAATGACGCTCAGGTCAAAGTGCTTAAAAACAAAACTTACGATACACACACTAAACAAATAAACAGTAACGAAAATATACTGTTCCCCAATAACGTCACACCACTGTAAAAATGAATTTGCAGCGGAAAAATGAAAAACTCAATGGGAAAAATAGTTTACATAAATGAAATATAATTTTTTCTATAGAAGAAGTATGCTATTGTGAATGATCTTTAGTAAGAATATATATCTATTCGCTAGCAGAAAAGTGAGTTTGCACGATACTAAGGATGTTGGGAAAATTTCTAGGCAGTTAGATTATAGTTGACTTTGGTTAAAACAATGGTCGGTAAATTTGCATGAAGATGGTGGAAATCTTTAAAATCCAAACACGACTTAAAATTGTAGTAAACGTTTTCCTCTTTAAATCTGAGTTGAACTATGCCTACAGTAAATTAGATTTTAAAATTAGAAATTTACTTTTCTTATACTAAAAAGCATTTCTACCTGATAGAACAAGTAAGACCTACATTTCGCATGAACTCAAAGGCATCTTAGCCATGGCACTTTTTCGTCGAAAAGAGTGCACATGCAAAAATAATTGTAAAAAAGACTTCGTTAATGTCAACAAAAATGAACAGAGATCTTAAAGTGCCTTTTTCAATAACTTTATTTAAAAGAAAAAATGTTTTCCTTATCACTTGAAACATGTCCTGAATTGCTGATAGTTCCGAAACAGTCTGCATGATTAAAAACAATTCAACACTATCATAGGGTCAGACAAAAGCAGCTGTTAAAATACAAAGGTGATGTACTTCATTCATTCAAATATTGTTTTTATAAACTCTAAAAGCCCTTTCCATTGCAAAAGCAAGAATGCATCGGAAATATTTATTGAAGTTTGTTTTCTTTTAGTTTCCTATTCCATATGTTATAACCATTTGTTTAATGAGTAATAGCATTAGTCTCGTATCTTGACATTATTGTTTGGAAAGCCGGCGACGCAAAAACAAGGTCATACTAGTAAATAGTACTAGAACAGTACAACTATGCTGCTGCTCTCAATCGGCTTCATTGTGTATGAAAAATCGAAAACTTTGACGACAAGCTTATTATATTATATGAACTTTTCATAAAAATCTATTTACAGAGCCATCGAAATCTCTATAGAAATAGCGCATCCTTATTAAACTATAATATCTCAGTTCTTTTTAATTAATGATTTTAAAAGACTGTTAATAAGAAGATTAGAAAAAGATATTTGTGACAACGCAAATGAGATAGAGTATGACGTTAATTGCGAACAACATTGCTTATCTGAGTCATGAACCGAAAGTATCACTACAAAATCACACGATATATTAGTTCGTTGTAGGAGTGGGAGTCGCTACTTTTTTTAAAAAGAACTTTCACTGTTGACCACTGAACTATTGAACAGATTTAGACTAAAATTGAATCAAACGGGAAAACTATACGTGTTTAGACCAGAAAAATAGAATAGTGTGCAGTAGTTTAAACAATAATCTGTTCAAATTTAAAACGATCAGTGAAGCAGTAATTAAGTTGAATTTGCAATGATTAAATTCATGGCAGAGTAATACAGTGGCGAAATTACGTTTTTCGTAGGTTTCTATTTACTTCGAGAAATATTTGATCCTTATGCACACTAGTCTGCTATACTTCAAATTCAGACCGATATTGTTCATATTTAATAAAATCATATAATACTCGTTCTTATAGACAAAAAATTTGAACTCCATGTTATGTTATACTACTCACTTGATTACTCGTTTCCCTTCGCTCTCATAGCCGAATATACTCTTATCGATGATTAGTTTGGCTGACTTTGCATGCTTCATACAGTATCCAAGTTTTTTTCTTTTGAATACATCAATAGAAATTAAAACATATCAACAATTCATAAGAAAAAGTCCTTGTTGTTTGTTGAAGCTAACATATGAATGATATTAACCGATAGAAATAGATGTATCCGTAATGAATGCTAGGGTGTTTAAGGTTAGAAATAGTTTTGAATTTTTCAAGATCAATAAATCTTCGTCTATATCTTCAAACTGATTTGAATCAAAGAAAACAATTGTCTACATTTAGCAGTTTGATACTTTATCATTATCATTCAATCGTTTTTTTAATTCAGTAATAGATTGTTCTCTGATGAAAAATTAAACAAGTTCAAAAAAAACCGATTTACTTGTATGACGATCTAAATAAGACTTTTTTTTCTATCGAGAATGTCTTAATCTTTCTTGTATACGATCAAATCTGTGCCATCTAATAAGAAATTGACTAAATAAATTTTTTTTTCAAAGTGAGTTTCTCAGTCACTAGGCAGATATCCTCAAAATAGTTACCTTTTGTATGTTAGGTACTTTTCATTGGTCGACATATCTCTATTTAATGAAAAAATATACATTCTCTTCACTTTAAGTTGATTAGAACATTTCATTCGATTGTTTTTGTTACAATAATTAAAAATATCTTTATATTAAGTCAACTAATCATTATGATTGATTATTACTATTAAAATAGTACAAAAAACATTCGAAACAGAAATATCTTCCTCGAAATATAATAAAAATGTACTCTATATGACTCCACATATTGATAAGTAACTAGAAAATTCGAACATCATGCAATAATGATGTTTCTAGAGGTTGAACAACATAAGTATTTTAATTATATTAGAAGAAAACTAATCAATTAGCATAGGTGACTCTTAATTAAGAAAAAATTACGAATCAGAAGTGTTCTAAAAATAGAGAAATATGCATTCCCCATGATTAATAATATATGATTCAATGCTATTTTATGGGAACATTATATTTACTAAACATTATGAGCAGTTGCTTGGCAATTTAAAGAATTGAAAAAGTCTCTTCAAAAACTATGATACCTGTTGCAGAATGAAAACCGGTAACTGATGCGATATGTCAATAGATGTTGAGTAGAAAATAATCCTACAGGAAAAAATTCTTTGACTCACGTTTTCATCTTGGAATCAATGAATATAAAATGTTACAAAATATGTATACTTATAGTTTCACATATAACTTGAACAATAAATGGATTATGATATCTCGAAACAGATAACTTTGTGAACTATGCGTAAACGATCTTACTGGTACAACAGCACCTCTCTTTTTAGTCAAATATATTCTCTACTTTTGAATTTTCAATATGATTTCCTACCGTTAAAAGAATCTAGTATTAACCGTCAACAAGATTATGAAAAGATCACGTGTCTGGACTCGAGTATGAACATTGACAATGACAAACGACCAAAGATATATGCGCGATTGAAACTAATCTTCTATGAGCGATATGTAAATGCATTTTATTCAACAAACGAATATCAGTACGCAGTTTCTACCACAACGACACTGCGTATTCAACCGTAAAAGAACAGTTTTTCCTTGAAAATAAATTGTGATTTGCTTATTACTTTTGAAGAAACCGTACAGTGCTTATACTTGGGAAATACACATCGAATTGATTTCATCTACGATACAAGAGTAATAAATAGGATTTATGGAGGTCTTACTCAATTTAGTTTTGTTTCTGATCATACAAATATGGACTTATCAAATCGTTAAAATATGGGATTGAAGTATTCTAGTACCTGTTAATTATAACAAATATTTGAGAAGTCTATTGTCTCTTGCTTCAAAATAAATGTGGGAAAAATACAGAAAATGATTGAGAAAAATTTCCTTGATCTATAAAAATAATTTTTTTTTATATAAAATAATCATTTTATGGACTACAATATTAGTAAGAAAATATTTCTGCAGAAAAGTTTACGCATTTTAAAATAATTCTTGTTCAGGTCAGGTGACAACTTTTACTTCACATGAAACTAGAAGATGAGAAAAAGTTACGATTTTGCTAACGCTTCAAACAAAGTTTTTGCATACAATAAAAAACCCTCAAAGATTTCACTGAAATAAATTTAAAAATATAAACAATTGAAATAATGTCTACTTAGCAAAAATATTCAATTTACGCATGACCGAACACAACACTCAATTTTTATTTTATTCGATACGATATTTGTTCTTTACACTTGAGTTCTTAGCTAGCCATCATTAGATCGACATTAGAGTTCGATATCAAGGTTTGAATTTGTTCTTTTTCGATAGATCAAGAACTCGTTGTTCGTATATTTCAATCGAAAATCTCAGATTAATCAAATGACATTTTTGAGAAGATCAAAATAAAACCTATTTTGTCGTAAACATGTCTCGTTCTCGAGTCATCGAAACATGAAATATGCTTATAAAGAGATGATTGCATCGAAGTTATTTAAAATAAATTTTTTGGAGAATCTATACTGACTTAGAAGCGATAGTTTTTCAAAAAATTCCAATTTTGGCGTCATAGAAAGCTCGAACCGGTAACATTTGATGCGTCAAAATGTCGAAATTTTTTCAAAGGTTGATGGCATGCTTCATTATGATGTCTCCTGTAAGAATGCTGAACACATTGCGGCCTTGAGAAACAATCAAATCAAGAAAACATATAAACCGAACATGAATAATTCTACGAGTATCTTTGAATAAGTATAAAAACAAATTCTAGAAATTTCTATTGAAAACTTTTCACATGATTAAAATTGAGCTCAGTAATTGAAGTATTTTATTCTTTTGAAAGTCAGTTTGGATAGAAGCAAATTTTTCATGGATATATATAATTTGATTTACGAAGATTACATAAACACGATAATCAATTTCGCTTTCAAATAAAAAGTTAGATACAAAACGAAAACAAAACAAAATGACATTTAATGAGACTTGCTTTTTTTTCTTGTACTGTCTCTTTTATTCTCTATTCTATTGCTGCTGTATATTACTAATAAAACATGGCTAAATAATGACTTTCGTACTTTGATAGTTTCTGTTGAAAAATAGATTATTTTCCCATTTATTGAGACGTAGGAAGGTATTCATGATCGCAATTTCACTTTCTTTTTAGTACTTGTTTTGCTTCTGCTACAAGAAAAGCACAAATCGATAATCACGTTCTAAATCAAAAGCTAATATTATATTACTGGTATCGATCTTTGCATTATTTAATCTCTAAGTTTAGTCGAGCTTCAATATTGATGAAAAAGTAAAATCGCTACATTTACGTTTGCATTAGGGAAAATTCTTTTACATTACATCTAATTTTATACTTAAAGGTGTTTTTGTTTTAGAATCTACTATAAAACAAATATTGCTTGCATGTAAAAGTAAATGTATTAGGTTGTTTAGAAAATGATGAAAATTATTCGATTTTGTTTAATTTATTTATTAAATTTTGGTATTCATCTAACGATTGTTAACTCTTCTGATAAAGTTAAACTTTTTCATGATGAGAACTACAAAACTGTGTTAGAGAAAATCAAACATGAACAATCACATGCACGCTTTATTAAATCATATGAAGCTAAAGAAAATGATGACCAAAAACAGATATTTCTAAATGATACATCAGGATTTATGTCAAGTAAGTATGCATTCATTATTATTTTGAAATTAGACAGCGATCTACAGGATAAAATAATAGATGCACAGTTAACAAATATTTATTTTATTTTATGATTAAAAACCTATTCAAATAATTCCTACAGTCCGACACCTGGATTTGTTCAAACAATGTTAATAGTCTAATAGATCTTCACATTGATCGAATCCTATATCTTTTCAGTGCTTGTGCGGCAACTACTTTTTGTCTAACTGTAGGTCTAATACCATTAACAACAAGTTCCCGAACAACGAGCATCACACAACCGACACTAAATGCAACGTATATTATTACTAGTATTCAAATATTAGGTATTTTATAGATGTTCATTTTTTGTTTCTTGATTCTTTTTCTCTTGTTCTATTCACCACATGACAAGACTCTTATTTGCCGTATAATCCTGATAGTTGTGATTCTGAAAATTCGACTAGATTACTAAATGGCACCTGTGTATCGAAATTATATGGACAAGTATAATCTTTTCGAAGTATAAATTTGTTCTCTTATATTGAAATTATTTTTCATGTAGATAATTGCAGCTAGTATATTAAATAGCCCATCGAACAATGCGGTTAACACAGCCTATGCGCTTTCATTATACATGAGTTCAATAACACAAACAAATCAGACGGATGTTGTGCCAATAAATGTTATCGATAATATCATGGATAATCTGCATGGTGTTAATTTAACTTTAAATTCAAATTCATCATTTCTTATAATTCACACTCCTGATTCGCAGATTTTAGGTGCTTCGTTTAGTGATGGTATCGGTGGTCAAATTGTAGATATATCGAATAAAGAAAATCTAACACATTCAAATATATCAGCTGCAGCTATCATTAATAAACAATCATTAAACAATGCAGTATCTCTTAATATGTTAATTGTTTATAAACCTACTGGATATGAAATGATCACAGATATGTCGACAAATAAAACAATTGCATCATGTGTAATCATCGCGAATCTACAAACAAAAAATAATTCGATCTCCGTGCCAACAGTTATTTCATTATATTTTAAACCTTTAGATCGATACAAAAAGAATGGTACCGGAACATATTTATGTTCATTTTATGATGAAATAAATTCGAAATGGAACGAATCCGGTTGTACGGTACCATTGCACAATACAAAATATGATCGATATGAATGTAGTTGCAATCATTTAACTTCTTTTGCTCTTATTTGGCTGCCGGAATCGTTATCATCTGACAACATTACAAAGAAGCTTGATGCACAAGATATTTTTTCACTTATATTTCAATGTATATCGATTATCTGTTTTACAGTAGTTATTATTCATGCACTAAGTGTAAAAATGGCAAACTCATCAATGAATATTCCAGCAATTAATTTACTTCCATTAATCTCAACAGCAAGTACAACGATACTTTTCATTTTTTTTATTATACTTTCTTCGACTGTATATACTCAAACATCATCGGCAAATCAAACTCTATGCTTTACAAGTTCAAGTGTATTAATGTTTATTGTTTATTTCTTATTAATGTTTATGTTTTGTGTCAAAACAAGTGCTGGATATTTCTATTATTTACGTTTTGTTCGTCTTTTCCCATTACCATCATATCGGAAACTTTCAATTATGCTTATAATTTCATTTGTTCTATCATTTGTTTGTGTTATTTTAGCGATTGGTTTTAATTCAAAATCATCGTTTAATGTTACGAAATTATATCCATATAAACTCTGCTGGTTTACTCGAGATGTTATTTATTATTTTCTAATCATACCTCTTTGTATATTTCTTCTCATTAATATAATTACTATAATTCTTGTTGCGAACAGTATTATAAGGTATGCACGAAATGCACCAACAACTAAGCAAATCAACGACCGATTAAAAAAATGTGTTGTTGTTCTATTATCGTCGTGTGTAACGCAAGGTATTGGATGGTTAGTAGGTCCACTTATTTCATTTCTAAGTCCTGCAGCTGGAAATATTTTATCATGGATTTTTATTATATTGAATGGACTAGAAGGTGTTTGGTCAATACTTCTCTATATCTTAATTCGATCGCATCAAGTCGATAAGGAACGAAGTATTTCAGCAGCAATAGAACTTTTAAAATCAACTGGCATTACATCAACTAAAAATAAAAAATCGAGTCAAAGTAGAGAACGCACAGGAAATCAAATTAATGTTACACAGAAAACTGCCGAACAAGAACAGCCCTACGTAATTAATGATATTCGCAAGCGAGAATCGACGAATTTTTCTTTTCTTGATGACGATTGCAATAAATAAATATTTTCGCTTGTATTATGTTGAGTTTGTTTTAGAGGGAGCAATCTGCAAGATTCTACTCTCTCTCTCTTTCTATATATATATATATGTATATATACCTACTGAATTCTATTACGTGTTCCAATTTTCATTTCAATAGTAATATTATTCATTTATTTTAAATTTTGTAAAATTCTATAATTTGATTTGAGAACCTATTGGTTTTTATGTTTTGTATATTATAAAAATGATTTTATCTGATAAGATGATATATTTTTTTAATAAGATTAGAATTATAGAATTTGAATACATTCGTTTGAAATGACGATTTGAGGGTATAGTGATAGTATATCGTCAGTTTATTTGATTTATTAAACTAGAAAAATATTTACGCTGATTTTAGAAGCCTTTTCTTTTCTTCATAGGAATTCTTTCAGGTCTTTTGTTTCTAACGAATCTATACACTAACATATACTCATTTAAATTTTAAATTTTTGTTAGTTTATTTAATTCGGAAGAAAATCAAGGTCGTTTGTTGGTGACTAATTTAGAGATTTCTCATCGTCGAATGATGAAATAACTTTAGAAAAAATTTATTTTCGCATTAAAATGTTAAGTAAAAACATGTGCCTTTCCTTTTTTTCGTTTGAAGATGAAAATCTATAGTTTCAATATGAGAGTTAAATTATTCTATTTCGATGTAAAGCAGATTGTCTTGCGATTGACAAATTCAATTAAGATTTAATGAACTATTTCTGACAATATCGAATAATAATTTGAATAATGAACACGATGGAATGACAATGATTAAATTTTCCACAAGAAATAACACTGATGTCAATAATAGATAACGAAAGAAAAAGTCAGTCTGAATAAACTTGAGACAGAAGAAGACAACCAACAATCATGTGGTATTTGTTCATTTTGAGTGTAGTTTTTCTTCAACCAATTCATATATTATCATTGAATGAAACATGTTGGCCAAGAGCCAATAATTTAACGTGTGTTCTAAACGATTTACTTTATGGATACAATAAACAATTGAGACCTAATCATACCGGTAGAATATAGTTATTAAATAAAATAAAAAATAGCTAAATATTTGTTTATATCTTATTTTTTCTAAGGAGATCCGCTTCAAGTTCAAGTTTACTTAATGATTATTACATTAGGCATGTCAAATACGTTTGTTTTTTCGATATACGTTTTTGTTTTTCTTTGCTTTAGGACCCATTGTTGAGTTAGATATGGTAATATAAATTGTGTATTTTAATATTTTATTCTTCTCTTTAATATTTGTAGTCATTTACAATGAATTTATTTTTTCGTCAAGTTTGGACTGATGAACGTCTCACTTTACCGAATAAAATATCTAATGTAGCTGTATCGACAAAATTGCTCAGGTTTATTTCGATTTGTTTTAGTTTTAGTGTTTTTTCTCAGTATTTTTAAATATTTTTTGCAGTGCAATATGGAAGCCTGATACATATTTTTTAAATTCTCATTCTGGTTATCTTCATACAACACCAACACTCAATCATCTTTTACGTATACTTGAAAATGGTCGATTATTATATTCAAGTCGGTATGTTTATTGTTTTGATAATTTAATTTTTTTTAGAAACCATAATCATCATCGTTCTCTATTAGATTAACAATTAAAGCGTATTGTTCAATGTTCTTACGAAGATATCCATTAGATGTTCAAACATGTTCATTGATTTTGTCTAGTTGTAAGCTAAAATGCAGAAAAAGAAAAAAACGAATTTTTCAGTATGATTCTCTTGTTGAAGATGCTTATGGGACACGTGATGTTATTTACGATTGGAAACTTGATGAACATAATGGTGTAGAATTAGAACGTCTAAAATTATCTCAATTTGATTTATTTAGTTATAAAATTTCAAAAAGAGAAATTCAATTAACTGATCGTATGTATTCAATGTAAACAGGAAAAAACATGTTTTAAAAATAATTTTGTCTTTTGTATCAAAAAAGGAAATCATTCTGTGCTTCAACTTGATCTTCGTATGCGTCGAAGTGTTGGTTTTTATGTGTTACAAGGTTATATTCCAGCAGGTTTACTTGTTATTTTGTCTTGGATATCATTTTGGATAGATAGTGAAGCAACCGCTGATCGAGTCTATATTGGTTTGCCAATGAAATTTCATAATAAAAAGAATCTTATATAATGAATTTTTGGTTTAGGTATTACTTCTATACTGAGTCTTACTACACTTGCACTCGATATTCGTTCTCACATTCCAGCAGTACCGTATATAACGGCAATCGACTCATTTTTTATTATTTGCTATTTATTTCTGCTTGCTTCATTACTTCAGTATACTGCTGTTCATCGTCATCTTGAGGTATTTTATTGTTGTTTTTTAGATAATGAAAAATTCATATTTTCATTTAAATTATCTTTACTCTTTTAGTACGGACATGCAATAAATAATACAGGTGGCATGAACAATTTGAGTGAATCGTCCAAACAACAAAATATGCCAATTGAATCTCGTTCTTCTAATTTAATTGTAGTACGATCTAGTCGAACACGAAAATTGCGTTCTTTAAAACATGCACGTCGCTCAACATTTGCTGTTGTTGCACAAGGTTTACATTTTTTAAGGCGAAAAGCACCGTTACATAAACTTGATCGTCTTGCTCGCATTGGATTTCCAGTTTTATTCGTTCTTTGTAATTGTATTTATTGGTATATTTTCATTTTTTATACGTCTGATTAATTTTTTAACTCAAGGCAACGAAAGAAAAAAAAAGAAAAGTATTCATAAAAGCTATACCAAAAAAATGCATATTTTTTTGTGAATGTATATGTACATAAATTGTAACATGTCGAATGACAAATAATGAGAGAAACCAACATATAAGTATTCCAATGTTTAATCACGAACTAAACAGAAACATAAGAAAAACAAGTTTGCTCTCAGTTTACTTTTTATAGTTATTGACAAAATTTCAAGGTTGCCTTGCAGGTGTTTATTATGAGTTTTTATTTCGACTGATTATTTTGATACAACTAGAATTTCATTGAAAACAATCCAACACGATAAAGACTTGACTTTCTCTATTCCTATTGTATTGATACTTAAGAGAAAGAAGTTTATTGATGACTTAAGTTGTTATTTTTACAAGAATTTTATGTCGCTACTTATGATTAATTTTTGTCTTCATATGTTTCAACTGCTTTTTGCACTCTTAACTGTTCCTTACAGATATTTCAGTGGGATAGAAATACAAAGAGATGCAAACAAATTTCTCAGGGTCATTTATATTGTGATAAAAATTTACTTTATGAATGTAATGAATGATATAGAGAAAGAGAGAGAGCGAGAGAGCGAGAAAGAGAAACAAAAAAATCGCCGGAAGCAATTGGTAAATACAGAGTAAAGTGTATGTGAAACCTATTGAAAGAACCCTTCGACTTCTTTCAAATTTGCTGAGCTCTCTCTTACACGACGAAAAGGTGAATGATTTTTTAAATGTTTAATGAAAAAAACCATACGAATTCTTTTTTTCTTCTTTTTTTCTTCTCTCTAGTTTTTAAAGAAAATAAAATTAACGTAAGGATGAATGCGATCCGGTTTCTTTTACTTCTTTTAGTTGCAATGTGGTTTTTAACTTCTCAAGCAAATTTCAAGTGCTTTCATTTTTGTCATCTTTCAGCAAAGCCTAATTCATATGATAATTAATCATTATCTTCAGATGCATTAAAAAAAAGGATTATTGACTTCATAGACAGAAAGGAGTTCTTTCGTTCTGGAGTGTACAGATAAAAATGCTCAAGTCATGCTCAGTTTATCTGGTGAAATGGATAATTTATGTGATATACTACATCATGGTAGAATGATTAAATATAAGTTATTTTCGATCTATTTTCAGATTCTTTTCGTATGAAATATTATTGCGATAATAGTTTTCTATCATAGTATATATCGTGATTTAGTGAAATGGATCGTTTCGTAGCTGTTATCTGACGATTGAAATTCATTTTTACGGCACGTGCGTTTAACCAACTCTTCATTGACTATGAAGATTATCAAGTGGAAACTGTATACGATTTTTCTACTGTTTTTTGGTATATGTCAATTGCAGATTATCACAAGTAAGATTTATCAAATCACTAAAATTGTATCCAAAAGTATCAACATTACTGACATAAGTATAAGATAAAGATATGCATTAAGTTTTAAAATCATAATTTGTTCATTGTGTACTAGGTTGAGTGCATGTACAGATGCCATTTGAAAAAGTTCTTTCTGCAATGGCAGACTAATGACAGCTACTTCAAAAAGTGTTAGAGCATAACTTTTCGACTTTCAATGTAGTTTTTCATTTTTATTGATGACAGAGCAGTAATTTGACAAAGCAACTAAAGCAAACGGCATGTAATAGGTAGTGGATAGCTTGAAACATGTATATCGATTACATGTGTTGAGGAAGGTCATTATAATTGGATTGTTTTGCTTTTTCTCTTCCTTTTGTTGTATAAAAATTTTTATTAATTATTTTTCGATTAGAATAATTAATTATTTAAGACGTTTCGGAGATATCTTCCTCCTTGTTCAGTTTTATTTTATTTGGTGTTATGTTTTGTTTTTACTATTTACAATACGTATCTGACTATTCTTTTTCTTTTTCTTTAATAGTGGAACGTAGAGTGATGTCAAAATCCCGTTACACCGGGTAACGACTTTTTCTCCAGCTAAACTTACTTTATAAACATTCGGTGTATTACCCCTAGGGTATTTACTTTCATTTAACTATATGTTTTAGAGTTGAGGAATTTGAGCTGTTTTGGTGTATTACTCCTAGGGTATCCACTTTCATTTAACTATATGTTTTAAAGTTGAGCAATTTGAGTTGTTTTGGGGTATTACCCTAAAGCATAACAACTTGGATATCCTCGAAGAAATACACAAAAACAACTTGAATTTGCATGAGATGCTCAATTCGAATTTGAATATAATTGATTCATGTACTGCACAGTAACACTTCGGAAAAACTTAAGGCACAGATATTGCTACAGGAAAATGCAAATAATATCATTTTATCTGAATTGTTTTTTTTAAATAATTTGAATTTAGACATGCATATTACTGAGGCTAAAATGCATGGCATAAATTATGATTCCTGGGAGCATTCCCTGGATTCCTGACAATGCGTAACATTGATTGATGGAAGGCTGTCGCTGCTGGAAGCTAGCCGGACGCTACTGTATGAATATCTTAGGCTTCTAAAAGAATGCGTGAAATTGCTGAAACCATGTATCAGGTTGCTAAGATTATTCCTCGGCTTCCGACACCCTTGCCTCACGTTGCGGCCAGTACGAGTGGAGTCCTTCGTGACACACCACAGGTACCGGAACACATACCTGAGCTGCTAGATACATCATACAGGTTACTGCAACTGTGCCTCATCTTGCTACAGGTATCCAGATCAACTTTCACACAAATTAACCTATACATCTCAGACCCAGGTCGAGCAATCCGAGAGTAGGCACCTATCGGAACCCATCCGATCCGACTGGAGTCCAATACGATTTTATCGGTTCCTGCCAGATCTTACAGAATTATCGTTGGATTCCGGGTCGAGGAATCGATGTCGGATCCTCAGTGTCTGATCCCTATGAATTCCAAGGAAAAAGCGTTGTATGTCATCGGAAGTTCATAGGATTCCAACACTGAGGGTCCGACATCGATTCCTCGACCCGGAATCCAATAGAATTGTATCGGATTGTAGGATATTTCCAGGTTCCTATCGGATCCGATGTCGGATTAGTCGACCTGGGGATCGCTCAATTTCTTACAGCAAACACAGGAATGCATCTAGCAACCTTAGGCATGCTTCTAGCAACCTTAGGTATGTTTCTAGGAACCTCAGGATTACTGCTAGCAACCTCTGGAATTGTTTTAACAAACACAGGTATCCTTGTAGCAGATTCAGAGTCATCAATGGATTCTTCGAAAATCTCGTTCTTATTTTATGTGGAATTAGGCAGTTCTTCCGAACTCCTCAACTTTAAAACATACAGTTATATAAAAGTGGATACCCTAGGAGTAATACACCAAAACAGCTCAAATTCCTCAACTCTAAAACATATAGTTAAATGAAAGTGGATACCCTTGGGGTAATATCCCAAAAAGAATTTGATGGGTATTATGACTTGGAAATCACGATACCCAGTGTAACGGTATTGTGACATCTATGGGAACGTAATGACAAGACGGTAACACTGGCCGATAAAACTTATATGTTTTGACGTTCCGTTCCACTATTAAAAAAAAAGAAAAAGAATAGTCAGATACGTATTGTAAATAGTAAAAACAAAACATAACATCAAATAAAATAAAAACTAAACAAGGAGGAAGATATCTCTGAAACGTCTTAAATAATTAATTATTCTAATCGAAAAATAATTAATAAAAGTTTTTATACAACAAAAGGAAGAGAAAAAGCAAAACAATCCAATGTATATCGATTATATTTATTTCAGTCGAACTTGGAGTTCATAGACAGGTATCAAATTCTGATCGTTTTAAATCTGTATTCTATTATGTACTTACTTATTGTTGATTCAACAAACTATTTGTTCACGTATGAGTACTAATTGAACTGTCGAGCATCAACCACAAAAACAAATCTATTGATTTTCACAGTACCTATGTTTCTGGAATATTTCAGTTGTTAAAACACATTTACCCAGGATGAAGGTGAACATTCGGATCCTATCGGATTGTCTTAATACTGAGAGAATTCGATCGGAAGTAACTGGGGGAATCCAGTGATCCAGATTTCGATATAAAATCCGACTGAATCCAACTAAGTTTTCAGCAAATCCTCTCAGTTCTCGCCGAATTCCGACCAAATCCGATTAAATCCGGATCGGATTCCGGATCACTGGATTCCTTGACCTGGTTACATAAAATATTTTCGATGCGTCGTATTTTGTCAGACATTAAAGCATGACACTAAGCATTTGTCTGTAAATACATTTCTTCCAACAAGTCTGCGGTACATTTTCAAGGTGTATTTTGTTTTTACACTCTAGTATTGTCATTACTGTTCTCTCTGTTACTGATTACTCATTTCAATTTCAGTTAAAACTATACTAGTGATGCATCTAATATTGAACTCGAATATAGTAACAGTTTTACATCTGACTAGTGTTTGAGTGTTGGATCTAGATCAGACTACTTCTAAATAGTTCCCATGTAACAAAAACCGCATGAAAATCGGCGGTTAACCGCGGTTTTACCGGTCAGCTTACCGGTTCCCGTCAGTGAAAATTTACCGGAATTTACTGCGGTAAACCACTGGCTTTTATTGATACCGCGGTTATCGGTAAAAAAATCGGTTAACCGGTTCGTCTATAATCTTTGACAAAAAAAAGTGTTCCAAATCATCAATTAAGCTATTTTGAACATACTTTTCTAATTTTACATGCGATAAACATGAGCAAAAAGCGCTGGTTTTACCGGTCCGGTTACCGGCTCTCTTTACCGTAGGAAGGATAAATACCGCGGTTTACCGCAAAAAATGATCCGGTATTTGCAACATGGGTTCATTCTTAAAGAAATAAGACTAATCGAAAAATGAGTCACTATAGTGTGTGTTACAGCATATGCACTTTCAATATGTTCAACTGCGATAATTACATATTGTTACATGCATAGAGCAAAATGATGAATAAATGGGTTGATGATAGATAGGAGAGAATTGTGAC